AAAACAATACATTCTCTACAACTTGTACAAAATGCAGCAGCACTGATCCTAACAAAAACAAAAACTGCACTGCACTAGTTACCTGTATCTATAAGGACAGATTTTAAAATTCTACTCCAAGTTTTTAAGGCTCTAAATAACATAGCACCTGTGTACCTCACAGAATGTCTGTCTGTTTATGTTCCAACATGTGATCTTAAGAGCTGCAGATACTGGCCTTCTGCAAATACCTTCCATAAAATACAGAAAACATGGAGAGGCCTCATTCAGTCATTATGCTTCTAAACTGTGGAACTCAATTCCACCTTTTATTAGACAGTCAAGCTCAGTTTGCACGTTTCAGAAACATTTGAAAATGTATCTCTTTAACTTAGCGTTGAACTAAAATCCTACGTCTCTTTGGTACGTCTTTTTAACTTGATCTCTCATTGTCTTGTTTATTACTGAAAAACATTATTAGCTGTCTATAAAGCACTCTGAGCTGCCACCGGTATGAAAAGTGCTCTATAAATAAAGATAATGACGATTATTATTATTAAGATTATTATTATTATAATTAGGGGTGAGAATCTCTAGGCACCTCACGATTCGATTGGATTATGATTCAGAGGGCTGCGATGCGATTATAAAACGATTATCGATGCATCTTGATGCATCTTTTTTTTCTATATAGCTTTTATATTTTCTCACTGTGTGAGTTCAGGTTTCAAGTTTGTTTGTCACTTGCACAACATGTCAGGACATTTATGCATTGAAATGCTTGTGGTGAGGCTCAGCTAATCACTCTACAGAAAGTAAATAAGTAAAAATAAAAATACAAGAAAAACCAACTGAAATATATTAAATCTACACAAAATATACACAGAATATAGAGACAATATACATTTTAAAGTGACTAAGTAACTCGGTGATATTGTTATTTAAAGTGACTTGGTAATTTTAAAGCAAAGCACACAGCACGTTACAGCTATTCTACCCGTTTTCTTTAGTGATTTTATGACTTCAGTTTTGGTCTTGTTGTAGAGACGGGGGGGATCGCTGTGTCAGTAAAATGTCTTTGAGACGGGTCGTGTGAAACATAGCGCGAAAGCCCTGTTTCGCAACGACTGAGAACCGGGGTGCAGACTGCAGGTCACATAGCAGCGATGCGTTATTCGCATTTATAAGTACTGCAGTTGGTTTCCTGGTACGTCAAATCTGCAACGAGAGACTGTCACACACTAAAAAGTGGCGAAGCTGAAGTCGCTTCTCTTTCGAATTCTCCTGTTCCACCTTAAATGGTGCCGCATTTACATTCGGCGCCTCACTTAGAATTTAAGGTGGAACGGGTAAATTCGAACAAGAAGCTGGAGAATAAGAAGCGACTTCAGCCTCGTAAAACAGTCGAACGTTGAGAGACATTTAACTGATCTACTTCTGAGGAAAAGTTTTCTGGTGGAGATGGGAGGAAAGCGGCTGTAGGCGAAGCTTAAAGCAGAGCGAAGTAAATCTGCGTTTTCGTTCATATTGTTTAGTCTATACTAGGACATTATCACATACTGAGACATAATGGACATTAAATGTTGCGGCTCCCAAGGTGGTTTGATTTTTGTTGAAAGGTCAAAATGGCTCTTCTTATCATTTGTGTTGTGACTCCTGACCTAACCTGGCTTTAATGCAGAGGGAGTCGGTCGGATTTCTCACTCATCTATGTGTGTTTTTGTTATGTGCTGCCGCAGACTGTCCGGGCGCTGCACTGACCCACTTCCAATTCCCGCCTTTTGCGTTCCGTCCACATTACGGTATAAATTAAATATTTAGAAAATCGATTTTTGACATTTGTGAATCGATTCAGAATCGTTCACGTCCGCATCGCGTTGCATCTAAGAATCGATTTTTTTCCTGCACCCCTAATTATAATAAATATAGATGTTTCACCCAACATCTTACTGTTTTGACAAATGGCCTTAACCATTACTACGAAGCCAGAATCTTTTCTTTACATCTTTCTTTATGACTTACTGCATGTGCTATATACTTAACATGTCTACCAAAAGGCTGACTTCATACATGTTGATAACAAAGCATAATAATGAAACAAGTTATATGTATTACTTTAGCAAAGATCATGACAATAGTATGGTCATTACATATATGTTTTATACTAAGGAAATTTTATGTGACTTCCAATCTGTCTCCATGTAAAACATTTAAGAAACACGTTCACATATGAAATTAAAAAGAATCTCTTAAATCTTCGTGGTGTCATTCATTTAAGAAGGACATGGTAAGACATGCAAAGATTGCAAAGGACAACATAAAGTTAAATCATGCCAGTCATTTTCATCAGTAGCCCACTTGAAAACCAACTATTAAGCTGTCAACATGTCAATGAGACACAACTTCTCTGAGCCACATATCCACAGCTCTGTTACTTTAAATAGAAGGTATTTAACCCCCGAGACCTCTGAGGTCCCTTGTTGCGGACTATTAATAGTGGCATTGGCTAAGAGCAACAAAGTAGACCAATCATTTGTTTTCAAGAGGTTCTATTTTCGTAGCATAGATTTTAAACAACTAAAAATAGGGACATCACCTTTTCACAAGATGCATATGTTCCTTATGGAGGAAAGGGTGACCCTCAGGCAAAGACATGTCAGGGGTCTCCAGGTCTACCAACATTACCCAGCCACTCAGAAAAGCTGGACCACAGTGGAGCCAGGTCCCTGCAGTCAGACTTCTCATATTACTCTGATCACGCCTAAGAGAAAAAGCAAATTCAGTTTGTCTTTTGCAGCTTCAGAACAAGCCTTTCCTTGTGCCTACTGCATATATTCATTTTTTAACGGCACATACAGGAAAAAATAGCAACAATAACTGTCAATGACACATAAATGCCACAACAAAATAACCCATATACTGGGAAGTCTTGAAAATGTCAGATTCTGTTTGGTGTACTCCAAGTCAAAATATGAATTATGAAAGACCTTAAATGCAGGTTTATGGAATTCATTAGTTCATAAACATTACTTCAAGGTATATTACCCAATAAAGGATCAAGCAGGTGCCATCAATATTTTGGGGGGAAGAGGAAGCCCCAGCAAAGCCCATTTTTAGAGGCAGAGGAAACCTGCTGTGAAAAATACTGTGGTTCATGCTGCTGCTCCAGGAACCCAAGAAGCCACCAGCAAAAAGCTATGAATTATTTTGAGCGCACAAATGCATTTTCTTTGAAGACCATCTACCATTAGAGACCTTTTGCTCCCTTCAAAATTGTTTTTATGCTGTGGGTAATGTTAACCTTTGCTTTTGTAGTCATGGAATTCACTTTTTTTCCATCAGAAAGCAAATAGCAGAGGGAATGGCTCAAAATAAAGTAGAGGAACCTTTTTAGAAGAAAGGAAGTGATGGGAAAGAAAGACTAGAATCAAGGATTTTGCATTAGATACAGCCATAGGACACTGCTAGAAATCCATTCTTCCTCATGTTTTTTCATCCTATTGTGTTTTTAGGATGGCAGTGTTATAGATAATTCTATAAATTCAGTACATTGGGAAAATCAGTACATGTGTATATGGCTTTGTATTTGAGATTTGTTGTAAGGGAGCATAGGTAGTCTGTGTTATCAATTGGCTTGCTTATTCAGAATATAGCCTACTGAAACAATAGCTCTCACACCCGAGTTTGTGACTTCAGATTTTATTCAACTCGTATCTTTTGCTCTGTTTGTGTTAGAGTCTTTAAGTGGCATGTTCATAAAGAGCTTTATCATCTGTGCTTCTAGCCCACCATGTACAGTGTGTACACACATTAGGCTAAACATTTTAATTAACAAATAGCTCAGTTAAAAATACAAAATGAGCACAGAATCTAACACATTTATGAGTATTATTTCAATGCAATTTGAATAACAGGCAATGAGGTACCTAAAAGTAAACTCTTTGAACTGATGTGTTGATATACTGAGTGCTTACTGTAGGAGATTTATGAATTTCATCTGCATCTATATGCTATATGTTTCTTGCCCATAACTGTTACTGTGGAATAAACTGAGACTTCTGTATTGCCTTTTGTATGTGTATTTGATATGGAGGCTATAGAATGTTTGTGGCCTGTATTCAGTTAATCAGGTAATCACTGTGTCTGTTTATCTGTCTACGCTATCTGAAGGCACTGTACAAGGTCACTTAACTTTAATGGTGTAGTTGGGTGTCTAGTTTCCATATACTCAGTTCTAATATGGGGTTATTAATAATATTATATTAAAAATATAATATGCACCACCACCACCATCACCAACAACAACTATAATAATGCTAATAATAATAATGATAATAATAATAATAATTTGATATAATATTAATGTATAATATATAACTTGAACACCGTGTTTGAGTCTTCAACCAGCAGTCAGTCACAGACATAATAAATAATTTCAGGTATAAATAGACTTACTGTGAGTGAAAACTACTATGAATGTCAGTTCTGATCACTACATAAATTGCTACTGACATGCTACTGAGTGAGAAACATTAATGTCAACCAAGAATTTTCTATTAGTGTTAGCCTACTAACACCACACCATAACAGGCCTTGGGTACGGTTTGCAAATGTCAGTTCTGTGAAACTAGAAATGTTTTAGCAGTTAAGCAGGCTATTTACTAGCAGCTTAGCATCTATTGTTGTAATGCTATATACTATTTCTTAAAATAAGAACAAAGAATGGTGCAGAATAACCCCATACCCACTTTTTTCTTTGAACTAATTTAGACCAGAATTATAGTTTACCCACTTTTTTCTTAGGACTACACCGTTTTATTCCAGCTTTAGCGCAGTTATTCGTTCAAGTTCCCGTCGTCACCTGTTTGCAGCAGCTCTCTCTGTCCATTAAAGTACAGTGAGGAATCCGAAAAGCTCCACACTCACAGACTTTCTGTCCAAAGTGGCGGGAATCATCCGCCGCCTCGCGCCTCTCCAGCCTCACAGCCGCATCCCGCACGTGATCTCCATGGAAACGTCATCACGCGTATAGGAAGTCATCCTGTTGCTATAGCTGCGCGCTAGCTGAGCATGGCAGCGAAGGTAAGCACTATTCTCACCAAGAACAAACCTTACTTTCCTGTCATAGAGTGTGGCTCATACCTGTCCAGCTCCGTGAAGCAGGAGTTATCAAACACACACTCACGCAAGAGCTGTGGCCCCGCGGAGACACTGCGATTAGCCGGTAACCTTCACCAAGCAGAAGCCGGCAAAATGGCTTGCTTGTTAGCCTACCAGCTAAAGTCCGAGGTGAAAGCTAACTTAGCCTTTCTCAATGACGTTTCGGACATTGGCTGTCAGTTTATAAGCCACCAAAAGCGGCAAACCGCCAAACGCTGTCCGTATTCACTAAACAAATCTGTCTGTGTTCGCTGTCTTGGGCAAGTCCTGAAGTTAGCAAGGCAGTAGACTTGACTGAGGTTAGCATCATAGGTTACTTATTTTGTAGGGTACCCAACATTCTGCAGTTTCAGAATGCATCAGGCCGAGCCGGGGAAAAGGTGTCGTTTATAACCTGTATCAGGACTATTATCGATGTTTTTGTCGGTGGAATCTGAGGTTGCTCTCTGCTTTAAGTGATGTGTTTTAATCCCTCCTACAATTAAATGACTGCGCCAAACCAGTGAACCATATGAGCGAATTATGTGATACGTAATCATTGTTACAGCTAACCATCAACCAAAGCACCCATCAGAGTGTCTATGTCCAAAGGTAGCCAGACACCAGTTCTATCAATTGTCAGGTAGAGAATAAATCTCCCCGGCACTTAAGAGTGGAAGTGCATTCTCTGGAGTGATGAAGGACCATTGAAAACCTTTGGGATGACTTGGAACGCCATATGTGATCCAAAACGAGTCATTCAGCATCAGTTGTGGCTACATTCAATCAATTTCATCCATTCCTCACAGCAGTGTTTCATCAAGTGTAAAACCTCCCCACAAGAGAAGAGGCTGTTCCCTCAGCAAAGTGGGGACAAAGTCCCTATTTATACCTTTGAATAAACAGGTGTCTACCAAATTTTGGACATATTGTATATACCTTTACATTTAGGTTGTGATAAAACACCAATGGCACAATAACGTGCTGTTTATTACCTCTCTCTCATAGGTAATCACTGTTACTTTAAACTGTCATGTCCCAGCATGTATTACATAGAAGCAGTGGACCACAGAGGGTAACAGTGTCAAGTGTGCTGAAAGGTATTCATAGAAACAGCTGAGCAGAATAACATTTTTGAATATCAGTGATTGAGTGTTCACTTATTTTGACAGGTAGTTGTAAAGAGGGCTGACCCTGCCGAGCTCAGATCCATTTTCCTGAAGGTAAGTCAGGACGCATCTCTTTCAGGGGGCTACAGATCAGAGCACTGAATGGTGTGGCCCAAACATGATGCAGCTGCCAATATTGCATTACCTTTGGCTCATAGTCCAGAGACAGAGCTTTAATGGTGTTCAATGAGCGTATTCCTCTTTTTGATGTAACCATGTAATGAATTTCTCATTACAGAAAGAAAACCTGAGGATTAATTTTAAAATGCAACCAGCACTGTTGTTGAAGGACTGTTGAAGCATCACATTTTTTTGCCTTCACAGTATGCCAGTGTTGAGAAAAATGGTGAACACTACATGTCTCCAGAGGACTTTGTGTCCAAGTTTCTCCATGCTCACACAGACATAAAACTGTCTGAAGAGGCCACAGCTCTGCTGGCAGGTGTTGTGAACCAGACCAAAAATGGGTGGGTGTTTCTTTCTTTGTTTTATTTCAATCTGAGTAGATCATAGTCTACTTATAGATTAATTGTCTTGGGTAACAAAGGACTATGAAATAAGCATTTATTTATATAACACTGAAAGTGCTAGAAATCCAAAACTAAATGTGAACGTGGCCGCAGTCTTGTGTTTGCAGTGTCTTTTTGTTCTCTTAATCACTCAAAAGACAAAATTGCTCCCACTACACATATATTTTCTGATATTTGACCCACCAGTTTAAATGCTATTTTAAATGAATGGACAAAGGATTCAAATTCGGAGGTTTTTAATGTTTTCTCAGTATAATTCATGACCTCTTGTTTTATAACAGTGCACTATACCCAGCAGTTATAAACAAAGCTTTTGTTGTCTGATGGTTTGGCATAATGCAGCAGTATCTTCCTTTTTTTTAATCCTGTGCTAGAATAAAGGGTCAGAAATCTTAATGCACAACACTGCACTCAGGTGCAGATCCATTCAGTAGGCTGATTCCACCCCTTTTACATTAATATGTATGTTTTTAATGATACATAATGATGGCCAATGAAATGTTAGGGTAAGTCAAAAAGATTGTGCGTTGCCACGGCAACCACCTGGGCTGTGGTGTGCAGAGTGCATGTGGTCATGCTGCACACATTATTGAGGCTGCTTTAAACAGGGAGAGGCACACATGCTCTGTAATTGCCTGTGCCATTCAGCTGCCGTGCATTGTGTGACTTTGGGGCTGGATAAATGGCTGCATCGCAGCTATTAAGGGATAACTATTAGAGAATCATGGCTTGAGCTCTGTATCTGAACCTCATTTGGTTATTTGTAGGGGTTCGAATAATAATGGGAAGATTGTTGGATTAAGTCAAACAAAAGAAGAAATGTTTCATGTTTACACAGATTCCACTGGCAACAATTTACATTTTATATTGCCTTATGTTGTACATTTAGTGTTATTGAATGTTGCATTTGGTAGAGGCAAACTGAGTATAATAGCTTCTTAATGGTGTTTAATACATGCCATGAAAAGAGTTTATTTATAATAATTCTGTCATACTGATTTTGGCATGTATGCCATTATTAGTATTTTAAAAGAAACCCAGCAGAGCCCAATAAATGTGCACAATGTAGACATTACAACCACATCATTAACTTACTGTGAAAAAGGCCTACAGCCTTATATGTTTATTTAGCAGTGATATCTAGTATCACTTGAATAATACAGTACTGTGCATATATCTGAAGAGATAAAATAAAAGATAATTCATTTGCACAAGGAAGGAGAAAGGCAAAGCAAAGTAAGAAAAAACAGGAGTTTCCAGAGTCTGTATTCAACAAATGATTAAAAGATATAGAGACTCTAGGGACTATTAACTATCATGTAGGACCTAGTAGACCACCAAAACTGTCACCATCATTGTGTGATGCCATAGAACCATTTTTGGTTCCCTAAAGAACCTTTCAGTGAATCGTTCTTTGGAGAACCATTTTTTTGCAAATGAGATGTGTCATTATAAAGAATCTTCACAAAATGTAAAAGCTCTAGAAAGGACAGTGAAATTAGTAAAGAACCTTTACATTTTGTGAAGGTTTAAAAGGTTCTTCACATGAACAAATCTCTTTATCAAACATAGCTCTTTAGGGAAGCAAAAAGGTTCCTCTATGGCATCGCTCAACCTCTTTATTTAAAATGTATTAGAAAATCAAGCTCCATTATTGTTTCATAACTGAAAACAAATCACAGGTGTTTCAGTCCATCCTTCCACTGTGGGAAGACAATTCAACTCTATGAGTCTGAAAAGATGTGTAGCTGTCAACAAGCTGTTTCTGAGAAAAGAATATAAAAAAGAAGGGCATTTGCACATCAACCAAAAAAGCTGCTGGTGCTCTCAGTACAGTGCACTGACCACCTCAGACTCCAGACATCTACATGATTGAATGTGTTTGGGAATACTTGGATTGCGAGGAGCAGAAAATGCAACCAACGTCTGAGACTGAACTTGTGTAAAAGATGTGTGGAAAAATATCCCTGCAGATTTCTTTGAAAAACTGAAAAAATGTCTCCTTTATAGGATGGAAGCTGAAGTAAAGACAAAGAGTGGACACACTAAATATTGACGAATGTGATGTGGCATCTAATTGTTGAGGCCTCTGTATAATTTTGTTTAATATATGTTTTCTGCTTTTTTGTCCCTGAGGCTGAAAATTGAAAAACGTAATGGCTGTTTTGACTGAAACATTAAATAAATGAAGAGTGTTCTCTGACTTTTGCACAGTACTGTAGGTGAATCTAGAAATAAAATAGTTGCATCAGTAAATAAAATGATCTGCTGACTAACTGCTTAGATCTTTAACTGGTTAAATATGCATACAAACAAAAAGCCAGTTTTATTTATGTAAGGAGTAGTATATATTTTACTGAGGAAAGAAATCTTTACCTGTACTGCAGTGCACATTTTGAAAATGGCCATCTGCTGGTAATTCTGTGCTTGTTTGGTGTTTGTTGAATGTTTCAGAAGTAAAACTGTTTCAAAAGTGATGTAGATTTCCATCTGATTTGGATGAATAACTTTCATGAGGTGGACGCAAACAGCGCGCAGCATCTTCGGCCTCCTCCTGCGTATGAGGAAATCAGGTGATATAGTGACATCTGTCAGGCACTGAATCACTTCTCTTTCATACACTCGGCCCTGTTTGGGAGGCATCGCGCCAGCGTTTTCGAAATCAGTCATTCCGCACATGTAGACATCCCTGCTGACTCAAAGATCTGTCAGACACATTTTGAATCTTTATTTTTCCTCCTCCCTCTCCATTTTTGATGAAAAAATTCTTGAAGTGTGAAACTCCATAGTCTCTTGGGGGTTAAAACTTTGTAAAGAGGACATGCTGGGAAAATAGCAGGCCGCGCCCGTGTGCATTCAGCCTGGTCTGAGGTGTGCACTCAGGGAAAGCTAAAACAGCCAGTGTCCCCTCTGCAGGGTTGTCAGTGACAATGACAGGCCCGGAGCTTATTGAAGGTGCTCTCTCCTCACCTGTCATGGATAAAAGCCACTACGCTAAGCTACTGCAATAATAAGTCTGTAAATAGTGTTTCTGCTATCTTTTAGCGACAGTGTTTACCAGCACAGGATAAAAGCCTCCTTTCTGTGCTAGAAGCCATGCGGTTTAAAAGGATGCAGCTCTCTCAGGCATAAATGCACCTCTACATGATATAACAATAGATTATAATCTGGGGATCGAGTCATATATGTTAAACTCAGACTGTGAGGCTGCAATTATAAAGCTTTTTTTCTTGACTGACAAAATTCATGTTCAATAATGGCCATACAAAGGCCAGAGTAGCTATAGTACACAGAAATGGAAAAAAGGCATATCAAATGACCACAAAATGAAACGTGCTCATTTTCCATCTACAGCTCTGAGGTTTTTGTGGTTAGAATACATGATAGTGGAGCTCTTGCATACACCAATGCAATTGGGATTCTGAAGGGGGGGCTTGAAGGTTGATTCCCTTGTAAGATGTTCCATGACCTGATGAAGCACAATCCTGTAAACAAGTGGTGCAAATAAGTGTAAAAGAAAAAACAAAGAAATTTTGTGCACTGCTGTGCTTCAGAAAGGAAATGTCTGCCTCCTGAATTCCACCTTGTACATCATTAAACAGACGATTTGTTGGTATAGGAGGGTCATAGACAAATGAGGGGCATGGCAAGAATGCATGTTTTTACATAGAGTAAAGTTTTTTCTGGTCCTGTGCCATATTAGTTGATGGTTGGAAGATGTTCTGCATTGATTTGATTATTTAAAACTTGATATGGATGCACCACATGATTTCCTTTTTTTTTAAGTCGTTTTCCAGTAGTCAGGGCATTGCTAATCAACCATCATGGGCCTCATCCTCTGACAGTGCCTTGCTTCTTTGAGAGCCTATGTAACCTAGATCTTCTCTCAAGTCTCATTTCAGGTGTGTTAGTTCTCAAATAGAAGCGCCAATTACAGTGCAACCAATATGGTCTGATCGGTACGAGACCAGCGCTGCTGTGAAATATGGCAGATATTTCTGGAATTAAGGCACATTTGTTCCGTAGCAAAGTTTAAATCGGCTGCATTCTTCTTGTGAAAACAGCAGCCATAGCATGTTTGCCTTTGGTTTTAATCACTGATGCATGGGCTCAGCGGAGTGGCTTTGTGGCCCGCCGCCCACTCTAAAGCAGCAGGCTGCTGTTCTCAAACTGCCAGCTTAGTTAATAAAACAACTGCTCTTGACTCTGCAATATGCCTGATTTTGCATGCTGGAGGCGTGTAAATTCTCAGTTCCTTTGAATTTCATCAGTAACGAAATTAATTAGAGTGGCCACGAAAATGTAATCATTGCTCCCTGGAAATTGAAATAAATTAGAGATGCACGCATTGGGGACTGCTCATTAGTACTGACCTCGCGTAATTACTGTATCCATTTGTGAAATTCATAATGGAGTTGAGGCAACTTTGAACTTAGCTTAAATAAAGACTAGATTGCACAGTCCCCAGGGTTTCCTGTGAATGTTCAAATGGCTTGTTTGATGAGGGGTGTGTGTGTGTGATTGTGTGTATGTGTGTTTGCGTGTGTGTCTGTGTGTGACAGAGCGAGAGAGGGAGAGAGAGAAGAGGAAAAGTGAGAGAGTGTTGGGAGATATCACCAAGTTTGAAGTATCAGCATTAGTGTAATAATAGCTAAAGCTTGATCTTATGGGTTAGGCGCAAATCTTGTAGCGTGCTTGTGCACCTACGTAGCAGATAGATGCATTACGATTGCGACATGCGAATATGCAATTTTACTGAAAGTTTTATTGCTCCATGTAATCATTCTACGTACTGTATTTCCAGTTATTTTGAATTGGACTGAGAGCTTTAACTGTTGCCATTTTCAGTGCCTGAGGTAATGACATTTGACAGTCAAATTGGAAGCACTTCAATCAAGATTGCTATAGATGAATAGCCTGTTATGTCAATTTGTTTTGTCATTCACTTAAGCCCTGTGCCTAGAATTGAGACTGGACTGTGTATTTAGATGTTTTGTACATCATAATTTTAGGCTGATAATTACAGCTGAACAAATCACTCAAGTGTCAAGTGTTCACAATGAAAATATGTGCTACCTTTTTTGTTTCACTGCGAGAAGCAGTAATCAGTGACTGATACCCACTCATCATACAATAATGCAGTGCTGGGGTGTGCTGGAGCTGCTTCTAGCCTGTAAGGCTGTTTGTCTCCCTCCTCCAGGCTTATCTCCTTTCAGGAGTTTGTGGCCTTTGAGTCCGTGCTGTGCGCTCCAGATGCCCTCTTCATGGTCGCCTTCCAGCTCTTTGACAAAACTGGCAACGGCGTGGCCACCTTCGGTGAGTGCCTTTTTATGTGTCATATTCTTTTATTTTTAGCAAGCCTGTTCTCGACAGAAATGTTACGCTCATCACACTTTATTTATTCAAACAACTGTTAATTATAGTCTGATCGAGCTGTTAGACAGTGTTTTCCATCAAGAGAAACACTAGCACTTCATTGATCTGCGGGCTGAGGGACAACGCTTGCTCTTTAAAATGCAGTTCACTTTCATTTGGTGCTCAGTTGACATGGGTTTTCAAGTTCAGCACCCATTAAGCTGACAAGATGGCATAGAGAACTAGGACAGAGCGATGGGGATGACACCTTCACCACGGGTTGGAGATGTTACTGTCACTATTATCTAAATGCTCCAGGGCGCCGTGGCGCACATCCACAGCCACATGTGCATGTTTCACATTTCCCTAATTGATTTAAACAGCCCAGTGTTTGCTGTTGTGTAGTTGAGACGCATCAGCTCGACTTGATTTCGGATGCACAACACATGCTGCTTATGCCCAGAGAGAAAGAAACTTTTGTTCTAATTGTTGTAGTCAGTAGGGAGTATGATCATTTAGCTTGATAATATTATGCATATATGTAAATTCTCCTATCTAAATTGATCAATTAGGTATTTAGACGTGATGCTTCGGTGTCGTAATTAAAAGGTCTGATGTTTTACTGTGACTGTAAAGGTTAATTAATACTACAGCTTGTGTTACAGTTCTTCTGGGGGAGGGGAAACTAAGAAGAGTTCACAACTGCTTTGACATATAATGTCTTGTATTCTTGTTTTATGCTGTTTCAAGATACTTTTACCTAGATAACAAATAGCTTCTGACTGAGATTGTGGTCTTGTCAAAGTCATTTTCTTGTGATGCGTTACAGGGTATGGCTACATGCAATGCCTTTGAAATGTCAAAGGCTTCAGGACCCTCATGTTTATAATTCTCTTAATGCCATTAAAAGGCTTTAAAGGTGACTTGTTATTTTAAGGCAGTTTATTTTTCCCTTCAATAAACTGCCATTTTAATATCACATTGAGCTTTTCATTTTCGAAATGAGTTCAATTACGGAATGATTTGAGTCAACCCCAGAAACCAACCCCCCCTCCATTCCCACAATTCATAATTAGGTGAAATACAGTTAATAAACATGCAGTCTGAAATATGTGTGCCAGCTACTCGACTGTACTCCTGCCAAAGAGATAAAAAGGAAGAAAAGCTTGAGTGTTGACAGCTCCATAAACGCAAGCCTGGAACAGCACTACAGTCAAACTCTGTAGCAATGTAATATATTTATTGCCTCATTAAAAAGAAAACCTGTTGGAGCTGTCGTGCTCCAAGGAGAATGGTCCTAAGTAATATGTGCACCCTAGTAATTTCTTTCTTTTTACCCCCTCATAATCTCCATTGCTAAGTAAAAAATTCACTGTCTGGACCCAGCGTACTGTGAATTTTCTCATTTTCTTTCTTGTTTCATTGTAGTTATTTATCTCATGAGTAAGCATGCCATTAGTAGCTGTCTTGGAGGATAATTAAACATTAACTTTTGCTGCTACAAGCTATGAGCTTGTCATGCAGTCTAATTTTATAGACTGCTTTCATAGCAGGTAACACTGTATTGTAAATTATAGCGAGCAGATTTCGAAACCTATGTTAAATCTGGTGATGGTCTATACAACAGTATAATATAGTTTTGCTATAGTATTACTATAATTAATGTACTTTCTATAGCAAAACATATTTTATCAAAACATTTTGAAATAGACTGAATATGCAATGTTTGACCACTGATGTATATTTCAGAGGATGTAAAACAAGTGTTTGGACAGACTACTATCCATCAGCACATCCCCTTCAACTGGAACTCGGAGTTTGTTCAACTTCATTTTGGCAAAGAAAGGAAGAAACACCTGAACTATGGGGAGTTCACCCAGTTCCTGCTGGTGGGTACTGTCATTGTTCTCTCTTGCTTCATTACTTTCTATCTCTCTTTCTCACACAGACATCATCTCTGTCGCCTTATTATCTTTGTTTTTTGCTCTCTCTCACACAAAATGTAACTGGTTTAGAGATTAAGTCCATTCACTTTCACACTTATCATTGCACAGAGAGCCATTGCCTTTACCTAGAAGGCAGTGATACATGTATTTGTTGCTTGGCATAGCCTTGTTGGGATTGACAGAGAGTGGAGTGTTCTGGGCACAATTTCCCTTTGCACAATGAGCCATATTGACCTAGTTAGTCAATAATGAAACGCTGGAGTTATATTCCAATGCCAGCATTTGTTTCTCATTAGGTGACGTAACCCAAATACAGTCCAGCGATTCCTCTAAACAGGTAGACATTCTCCTCCATAAATGATAGTATCACTGGTGCTCCTGCAGTCTTTTGTATTTGCTGCATGCGAGCCATTTTCCAATATAATGTCTAGACCTGAAAGTGGCAGAGGGAGAGTAAGGCTCAACTGTGCCAAGTTTGCATCTACACTCGCTATATCTGAATGAGCTTTTTATATTGCACCTAACTTGGTCCAGATGGTTCTGGGGAAACATACTGTGAGAAACACACTGATATTGTGTTTGTAGCCAAGACAGAATGAATTTTGTCTTCAGGACTTGCTCTGTCTGACTGCAGTTTTTTCCAGTATTTCAGGACTGTTACAGTAATAAGTTTAGTTTAGCTATGAAAACTACAAGTTTTATTAAACTAATTTAAGCCAGTGAGTTGATGTAATTTCATGGTTATTTGTTCTCTTAATTAAAATTTATCCAGAAAATTCAGTTACAGATTGTGTTTTGTCATTTTCCAGTTTCACTGCTATCCATGTTAAAATTACCATAGCAAACTGTCATTGTAGTTTATGATCATCTATGTGATACAGTACTCTGTAAAAGTCTTAGGCAACCGAGGAAAATGATATGTAAAGCCATTTATCTGGGCAATAGAAATAAACTAATTAACGATGCATTATGATTTGATGTGTGTGTGTGTGTGTTAGCTTAACCATTTCCAGACCTCTCCTTGAGGAAGCCCAGTATTTACAGTTACCATCCAATTCTTGCTTCAGAGAATCAGTCCTTCATTAAATTAAATCAAGTGTGTGGCTGGTGCAATTTAACAAACCTATGCAATGGCTGAAGTTCACATAGAAGTCAGGAACCAAACTGCTGTTCTTCTAACTCTATTCTTCTTTTTAAGACATTAACACTTAAAAGACAAGAAATTCTTATATTATAAATGCTTATGTTTATATATTCCACTGTTATGGAGTGTTTTAACTTAGGAAAACACACTTTTTAAAAAAATGCTGTTAACAATTGAAATTGTATATCAAATGTTAGAAATATTTAAAATCAGATATAGTATTACTATAAACCATTTAAAAATCTGTTACCTCGTATGTGTTACTGAGTGCTATTAATATCCATTACAATAAAAGTGCAATACTATATACAGTGTTATAAAGGCATGTGGTACTGCTGTCCTCATGTCCTGATCTAATCCCACTGTCCTCATGAGAGGTATATTTGTACTGAATGAATAAACCATGTGTTTTGAATTGGGTGCTAATAAAGCAGCTTCGGTTCAAGCTTTGCCTTTATTAAGCCCACCCTCCTATACACTAGCAACAAGGAACCAGATGGAGATGTGTATGATGAAATTATCTGGAGAATGAGTGCACTGGAAATTTTTCACTATGGTTTTCATACCAATTTACTCACAATGAAACCCAGAAATTCTTGAAATGACATTTTTTCCCCCATAATGGTTGGTTGCATTTCAAGGCTGACTCCATTCTTTCAAGTGTGATATCATGCTCATGTCATGATATTGGCATAAACAGACGTGGCACATGACACCATGTCAGAGTTCTGGCTCCTTCACCAGAAATAGTACCAGAAATCAGACTTTCTCCAACATCCAGCAATGTTTTTAACCTGACCGGTGTTGATGAAATCCAGAAGACCTTGGAGGGCTTTTTTTTCTAAGCAGGCGTTTTATTGTTTAAATGTGAATTAAAAGCAAGCGCTTGAATTGAAATAATCCAAACAGAGGTGGCTCGTCAAAAGGTTTTATTTGAATCCAAGGACAATTAAAGTAACAATAAATGCTGAGGCGGTTTCAGCATTGGCTTTCAGAGGCTTCGACTCTCCCCCGCGAAATAAAAACCATGTTTCTAAAACACTCACAGTTGCAATAAGTTAAGGTTTTAAGAGGCTAAAACTGTAAACAGTGAGGCCCTGAGTCATGGCTGTTGTGCAGTCCCATGTGGTGGTGGCTGTACCAACTCTGCAAAACACAGTCCAGCTCCCGTTCTGGCATTTTTTTCCTCGACTTTTCAACACTTTTTTTTCCCCCCCTTTCTCACCACTCATTTTTGCTTTTGCTAAACGCTCTGTATGTATGTAGACATAGGTTTAATATGGTTCTTTTTTAATTCCATAACTACTTACATGCTTGTATGTAGGGGTGGACGATTTGATAATATTTGTCGTTATCATGAAAAGTTTTGTTATTATGATACACAGTATGCATTTCTGAGCATGTTTTGCATATCGTCGTTAGAGAGGATAATTAGTCCTGTTTAACTGGATTTAGTATAGTAGGAATGTTGAATAATAATCATTGTGTTCATAGTTTTTGACAGTTTTTAAATGTGACACTACATTTGTGTTTTGTGTGTCAAAATATTGTGTATTGTGAAAAATTATGTAAGTATTGTGATATACTTTTTTCATATTGCCCACTCCTATTAGTATGTATTAGCTTGGTTACATTATTCACTTTTACAGGCAGCGTGTTGTTAAGCATTAGAATAAGTACAACTTCAATCAATCCAGTGACTCCTCTCACTCTGCAGCCTGGTTTATTTGAATTATTATACTGTTTGTTCTCTGGATTGAGAGATTGACTGGACCTTGTTGCAACATAGTATATTATTATTATTATTATTATTATTATTATTATTATTATTGCTCCATAGTTGATGAAGTGGTTAGTTTAACCAGTTTTACTCTGGCCCAATAGGTTGCTCATCTCTATGTAGTAAAAAGTACTTGAACAGGCCCAGCATTTGTGAAATCTCTTGAGAGACTGAAGACATGTTTACCTATGGCCATTATTGTAAAACATGTGAAAGTTACTGCTGCACAATTGAGAAACCTCTTAAATTGCTACACTGCTATGGCAAAGTAAACTAACTCAAATAATATTTCAAATTAGTGCATGCCTCATGTTTTGAAATGAAAAGTCTTGCCATTGTTTTCTATTTTACAAGTTTACTGTTATTGGTGTGGTGGTTTATGAGGGCAAAAAAATACTCCAAGATACAAATAATGTATAAAATATGTAACTAACATGTCATAGTAAATTCTGTATGTCCAGTCAAACAGAGCTGTGTTGGTTCTGCAGGGAGAACATAATATCAGGATTACCTGATGGCAGTGGGGCCATATGACTTTACACTCAGGATTAGCCAGTGACAAAGCTGGGGTAATTTTTCTGTCATTCCCTTGTAATGCACTGGGATAACGACACAGAGGTAATAGTGATGTTGCTGTCACCATTTAGTCTGTCCACATCATATTTGTATTAGGTCTTGACCAGTATGTCTGCTGACCAGTAATATTGGTTGGTATTGAGCCTGAAGTTTTCAAAAAAAGCAAAAATCCTGACTTTAAAGCGCCAATATTTAGTGGTTTGCTTTAATGAGAATACATTTTTTATAGGGAAAACGATCATATTTTTACAGTTTCATGATGACTTTCTCACTTCTATTACAGCAATACAAGCTGAACTAGTAAATTTGAATACAAAACACCATCATGGTTAAACATGCAACAACAGCATACAAAACGCAACAAAGCCTAACCTCGGCGTGAGGATATGTTACATAAACAAAAATTAACATTAACCAACAACCGTGAAGAATGCTATAAAGTTTCGCCCCACACTACAATATTGATATTAATAACACGAGTTTTTGTTGGTTGACTATATTTGGCAGCTCACAGTTTACAAGTGACAACCATGGATGTCAGTAAAACATAAAGATTCACCGAAATGAAAGATGAGGGTTAATGCCAATATCCAGTATTTCTCTTGAACAAATCTGCTGATGCAGATACATAAACATTTATAAAATGTAGAATTTAGCACTAGATCCACCTGGATTGCTAAAGAAGGTTAACAATCATGTGTATAGGATTACAAATGCAGTAAAATGAATAAAATGCAGACATTTTAGCACAGTAGCCCAGCGTCACCTAAACATTCTGCTCTCCTGGAGTACAATAAATACATCATCAAATATCAGTTTGAATTATCAGTCAAATCTAGATATCTGTCTTATGGCCCTGTTCAAATTATATGTTTTTTATTACATTCTATACAGGGAACAAACTTAAATATGAAAGATAAAAATATATTTTTTCTGCATTTTCAGCATTTTTAATGCACAGTTTCTATTTATTTATAGTTTGCGTTTATAACTTGAGTTTAACATAATGCAAAAAATAAAGTATAAAATATGGCATAACCATATTCTGTTTAATGTTTGACCATATTAAATTATATCAGCTGATATTATCATTTACCTGAAGTTTTAGCTCCTTAAAATTAATATTGAAATCGACCATAACAATGTCGTTGGTTAGGCCCTAATCTGTATCACTAAACAGCCAAAATCTGAGAAAGAATGAATTTTTCTCACCGTACTAAAGCAAAGCCATGTCTCATCTACAGTCAGCAAGTTACTGTAACTGTCTGTGTGCTGGCACTTCCACAGGAGATGCAGCTGGAGCATGCCAGACAGGCGTTTGCACAGAGGGACAAAGCCAGGACTGGAACCATCACCGCTCTGGACTTCAGGGACATCATGGTCACCATCAGACCTCACATGCTCACGCCATTTGTGGAAGAGTGCTTGGTGGCAGTAAGTCAGCTCCCTTTGATAATTTCCTTGTTAGCAGAAACCAGGCGTTTACACAGAGTTAACCAGGCAGACAGGCCATTTAAGGATAAAGCGCTGCTTCAGAGAGTGCATTTAAACATGTGTGGCTGAAGACATGTACCATGCACAGATGTATGTTTCTGTTTGAGCTTGTGTGCGTGTTCGTGTCTGTGTAGTGGCCTGTTTCGTAAACATGCCGTGGAGTCTGTCATTTTCTCCACAGTATGTGCCTTATAAACCTCGGGGTTCTGCCATATGTTTGTAAACACACACTTACAAAGCCATTAGAAATAAATTAAAGACAATGTGCTCATCAAACCCAGTCTCCGCATACGCACTCCTTTAATTCAGATGCTGTGAAAGAGGAATGTAAATTGTAGCCTAAATATTTTCCTTACATTATTTAGTTTGTTCCTCTTATGTCTGCACTCAGAGTTGTCCTGACTAGTATTAACTGTTTCAGAACAGTCCATGTGAGGATTTTACAAATGTCTTCTTGGCAAAGAGAGAGCCTTGGCTTGACTGTTTGTTTTTGTGGCTGGGGATCCACATCACTACTTCTGTAAAGCACACAGCGCCATCTAGTGAGAGAGAGGACTGCTTTAGCACGTTCTCCCAACCCCCCGCCAGCCACAGAGAGGGAATATGTATGTTCTTTCACTAAAGAAAAAGTTCAGTCACATTCCTACCCAAAGCCACCCAGCAAAGTCTAGAACATTTCAGTTCTTTTTATTTAAATATAAAACAGAAAAAAAATATGTGCATTTGGCTGCTTTTATCTGTAGCGTACTGTGAACATGAATGTTTTTGGGCAGCAGGAATATAGCCTATTTTCACGGAAGCTATTAAAAGACTTACCTCATGCTATTTTTTCCACTTTATACGTCCCTCTTCTCATAAAACAACTTAATTAAAGTGCCCCTCGAGCTTGAATCCTTATGAAATTACAACCAGTTCTCTTCATGGAACTCTGTTGCAGTGTAGCTACACCTTTAACTAGCTCACCCCACCGAGTGCTAAATAAATACATGTGGAGTTTGACTCATGGTTGTCACTCCTTTAGTTTGTTCGGAATTCTGCACTTTTTCTTTATAAAAGAATGTAATTGTGTATGTGTGTCTGTGTTTTCTTTGTGTAGGCAGCCGGTGGCAGCACGTCACACCAGGTCAGCTTCTCCTACTTCAACGGCTTCAACTCTCTGCTCAACAACATGGAGCTCATTAGGAAGATCTACACCACCATGGCAGGACATCGCAGAGATGTTGAAGTCACTAAAGGTTGGTGGTGAAAAAAAAGCACAGCCTTGGCTTCTCGTAAGGCCCGGCTTCTGTCTTTGTTCTCCTTCTGTCTGTCTGTGATGACCAGCAACAGCCTCTCTCGCTCTGTAATCACGTGTTTAAGTGCAAGGACAACAGAACTTTAAAAGTGGCAGAGTCACGTGCATGTTCAGGTTATAGGAAAAAAGCAGCACCACAAATGTAATAAATCAGAGCCATATTTCTTTTTACCGCATTGGATTCACTCCACATGTATTAGTACAGCGAACGCTGTTTTCTTTTTTTCTTGGCTTGTCTTCTCCACTGAAATTTGTAGCAATGTGTAGGTTTAAACCCTTTTCACAGTAGCCAGAAAATGCTATTTCTACCTTTTTTCAGAGGCCCCCCAGATTATGTACTAGGCGTCTTCAGTAATGCTATATCCTTATATTTCATTGAAAATGTGCATGATTTACAAAATGGGAACCAATCTGGATTTTTGTCTTCATAGGTGAGCAAGTCAACGTTTCAGTTTTTGATTGAATTTAAATGCTATTTTTTGTTGTGATAGTTGTACATGATCATTTTTAATATAAAGAAAGCTGTTGTGCTGTCTATCTTTTTGTGGTGTAAGTTGTTTTCAAAGCAGAGGGTTCTCACCCCTCCCCTTTAAAGCCTCAATGCTCACTAGCATCTCAACACAGATTCTCAACCTTTTACATACAGAGAGCCAACAGTGTCTGGTTAATCTGTTAACAGAATTACAGGGGAAATAGTTTTATTTGATTATATTATATTAACAGACTATTTTTTTTCCACTGTTGGACTGGTCACTAGGAGGTCAGCAAAAAGAGGTTAAACACTTCTGGTTATGTTAGGGAACAGCCCAGCACATCTCTTTCATGCATTATAAGAGCTGCACTCAATCGACAACACACACCTCAAGAAACTCTTCAATTCTTACTAAGCGTGGCCAAAGCATTACGTTCTCTCCTGTTATTTTAAAACTGTATGAGAAGCAACAGGATTGTAAACCAGTGCTTATGGAATCATGTCTCAGTTCTTTAATTCAGTTCCTGCTCATGCATTCATTTTAAATTAAGAATTTTGCATCACTGTTCATGAACTTTTTCCAAAATAGATCAGTCAGATCTGACATTTTCACCTCTCAAAGCCTTTCAATCCTCTGCTAGGAGTCATGAGAGAGAGAGAGAGAGAAAGTATAAGAGAGAGAGCTTATGAACTGTTGACCTGCAGAACTGCCCTCGTAGTCTGGCCGCTGTGCAGCTCTCTTTTTTGGACACTTTGCAGCACACTACCGTGCCATTCCCACAGGGGCCGCTGGCCGGCATTAGGCCGTACTGAAACCTGTGCGTGCGCGGCTCCACATTTCTAGCTGACCCTCAACTGATTGGTTCCGTATGTGGTGAGTGGCAGAGTTTAAACCTGCTGCAGCATCAAAGCATCTCCATCCACCACAGCAGCATGCACAGGGCTCATGCTGTATGGCCATAAATCCACTCCGCACAATGCATTTTTTCCTATCATTCGATATTGATAAGTGTTGATTAGATACATTTCCTAATTCTTAATGTTCAAGGGGTATTCCGCCCTAAAATTAGCAATAAATATGTCACTTGTCATGTTATATGGTATTCTGGAGCACAGCATTATACCCCCTAGTCTCACCAATTTGACAGAATTCATGATTTTAAATTGTTTTCAAATTTTGTTCTCTCACTACAGTACCCAGCATGCATTATGCAAAGATGTCATACAGCCATTGGGAATGGCTTTGGTGCTCAACCAATCCCCTCTGCTTGCCTGGCTACTTATCTGAAGGCTAATGAATAAAAACAAGCTAGCGTTAGTGTGACTCGGGAGTATAATCAATTGCCAAACAGGATATACTTGTGGAAAATATAAAGAGGCAAATGATTGGTTAGTGTGCTTGAGATCACCCTGGCACTGCACACGGGGCACCAAAGTTAGATTGTTTGTCCAGACTGAGTCTGTGAGCAAAATGACTACCATTCTTATCTTTCTGAAAAAGAGTGTCTGCAAAGGTGATCTATTTCATCATAAAATGTTTAACTTTGCAAAAACTAGTTCATTTTTAAGGATGTTAATATACCACAGAAATATTATATAGCAGTAGATTTGGCAGCATTTCAAATCAGGGGACTACTAGAGGGATTTAAAAGCTATTTCACTGGCATATCCATCAAAGCAAATTGTAAAGAAAACAATTTTATCTTTATTCAGGAGAAAAGGGACAGCAGAGACAGTTTTTTAACCTTTAAGACAGAGAAAAGGAGCCCAACAGAGGTAAGGATATAGATAGCTCAGATAGTTACATTGCTGATTTTACCTTTCAGCTTGTTGTCCTTCATAACTCTGATCATTTCTGTCAATCAAGTAATCCATTTTCTCTATTGTAATGATGATTTGAAGACAGTTACTACAGTAACATAAACTGCTCCCAAAAAATCCACCTCTCCCACTTTCAAGATGTCACCAAACAGGTTTTCTTTATGTCTTTATACCTGAAAATCACCTTCTAAAAATTACTGCAGCATTACTATAGGAGGAAAGAAGGCATGGTTGCAACTAATGTAGTGATGGAATTTTTCATTCTGGCTGGAGTGTCCTATTAAAAGTATATAGTGTTTTGAGAATACTGAATAGTATTTCAAGACTCTGAAACCCTCTTTGTAATACACAAAATGATCAAAATAGAACATAAAATAAATTAAATATAGTAGTTTACTGTCCATACCTCCATGAGTTATCTGTCTAACTCTTCTATTTGTAATGAACTATCTAACTCCTATCTGTCATGTTTGTTTGTGCTGTTGCAAGTGAAGGACTACACTTCTTTTCCCTCCCTGTCTAGTGTATGAAATGCCCATATTTCCACCTTGTGTGCAACATGGTAGTTTTATTGAAAATGCCTCAAATGCATTATCGATATTGAAAACTGTTAAATATTGCTATTTAACGTCTGTCATTCATTGCCCAAGTCTTCTATACGCACATGTTCACTGTCAGAAATGTACATTTTTCATTCGTCAAGGTACAAACTGTAAAAATGTACCTTCAAAGGTAAAACGATGATTTGCGCAGTGCTTGGAAATGTACCTTACACAAATGAATTCAGTGTACTTTATGTCTTTATGGGCACTATCTGAGCAAAAATGTCAGAAATAAAAGTAAAAACAAATTGTAGTCGCAGTGTCCTATTATTTTGGATTGTATGAGTTTATAACAGTAAGTTAATATGAAACCAGATTAATTTCTGTGTAACATCATTGTGGCTCACATTAGTGGATTGTGTGTGTATGCTAGAGATGTTAAGAGTCAGGTGCCCGTGCAATCTGTGATTGTGGCCCTCTTCACACTCTAGAGCATGTTTAAAGACGGGGGTAAGCTGAGCTCGGCTTTATTGAATAGGGCTCTGTGTAAGAACACATGCTGCCCTTTTAAGAGTAGTCACTCTATACCAGTGTAGTGGGAATCCCACTGTAAAGCAGCCTGCCTCATCCTGCTCATTACCACCCAGCACTTAACCTTCACACTGCACCGATATTCAATACCTCACCCCATTCACTCATTCAACACAAAATCCAGCCTCCCTGTTTGCAGCGTAACAAATAAACAGGGATGGACAAGGAAGGCCTATGGTCAGTGGTATGCTTAAAAGCTTACAGTGGAATGCTGTAAGGAAGTTCCAGTGTAGCATTCAGTTTTCTGTAGTCTAATTATGTCTCCCTGTTTTGCTGTCTCTGTCACTCAACTTTTCCTTTTCCACTCTTTCAGAGGAGTTTATCATTGCTGCTCAGAGGTTCGGTCAGGTGACCCCCATGGAGGTGGACATCCTGTTCCAGCTGGCTGACCTCGCTGAGCCACGCGGGTGAGTCAGTGCCGCGACTGGGCCTTGCCTACTGAGTCATCGTCTGAGCACATGCTCCGTTACTGCCAGCTTCTCTGCAACACTCAGAGATGAGGGTTTGAGACCTAGCTCAAGCACGCTTCAGTTCCGCCTCTGAGCCTCAGTGCCCTCGCAGGGCCCACTTGTCACTGTCGCTTTCTAAAAATTGGGTCGCTTGACTCTGCTGTAATTATATGGGAAACAGTTTGGTTTGTAGCTGAGTTTCTTTCTCTTGCATTTGCATACTTCAAGGAGACACATCACCCTCATTCTTCTGTGGGCTATTGGGATAAAATATCAGCCTACAGTAGGGTTGCATGATGAATCATATTTTTTTATTGCCAATACATGATAAACACATCGAAAAGGGCTGCAGTAAAAGCCTGAAAGTTCATCAAAACCTCATTTAAAAAGTGATCTCTGAAACACTTCTGAAAGGGTGGGATTAACTGCTGTAGGCTGAATAGGTGGATATTTGTAACTGTATTGATTTTGTGACATCACAAAAAGAGTGAATTCAAAATATTTTTGCAGATTACTTTCCATGTATGAACTGGGGAGTGAATAGTATGCTGTGTGTTTACATACTACATCAAACTGTTTTATTTAAAAAATGTTCAATTTTCAATTATTCGATTTTCCACAATATGGGCCCTTTTAAATAATCACATTGCTCAAATTAGACTACCTACACACACAGCGCCATAGTGAAATATTTTATGCCGTAGACTTTTGTGCATAGGTGACATGATTAGAGTAGAACCATAGAGAGGCAAAGACATGCAAAGAAAACACTTGTGAATAATCAAACAACTGCACGTTGTTAATTCAAGAACTGCTTACTGCACTGAAGTGAGTCAGACATCATAGGAATGAGCAGAAACTAAAGGTAGACAAAAACTATTGGAAAATATTTCGTCCCCCAAATGTTGAAATTTTATAGGGTACTTTAATTGTAACGAATCACATCGTCACAGCAACATTCAGCACACAACTCACATTGTTATAGGAAGACTATATCGCAAAGCACATTTTTTTGTCCATATTGTGCAACTCAAGCATACAGTGTCACTGCAGTAGACATGCATACATACACACTTTAAGCATAGCCTAATACAGTCATTTAGTACCCAAACTTTTCAACTGGTTAATCCATGGTCTGCTCATCACTAGTTTACACATTGTTTTCACAATAATTATGTTTACATAGAGGTGACTTAATTCTCTGCCCATGGTATAAAAATATCTGCTTTCTGAGGCAAAGCATCAGCTCAGCATTTCTAAAGGGCAGGAGGCCGTGGCATAGGAAAGACCATTTGACCGTACATGACTGGCGTCCCCAGTAGCTGTACAACATTCAGTGGGTGGTAATTGCTTTCTAGACAATATTATTTCTTTGCCATGTGATATGGTAATAGGCCCTACTCGCTGTAATTGGAGATGCTTGAGATAAGTGCTTCGCATAGATGTTATGCTTTGAAAAGGGAATGAAAGGTATGGGAAAGGCACATGGAATGTTTGGAAGTCACAGCTTCTGTTTTGAAGGTAGTATGTCATGATGTTGAACAGTTAAAGCACTGTTGAACAAGCTGATAATAAATGAGTTTTGAATTGTTTTCTTTTTTTCTTTGCCCTCCATAGCCGTGTTGGTTTAGTTGACATCGACAAGATTGCGCCTCTGGAGGAGGGAGCCCTGCCTTACAACCTTGCTGAGGTCCAGAGACAGGTAAGAAACAGCAGTCCAGCTTGGGTGCTGTTGAGGCTGTTTTAATATGTACAAAATGTCTCATTATAATTCATATGGGCTGTGTGGCATAGTTTTAATTGCTGTCCTTGAAACACTGATGGCTCATGATATTGTTTTCTTCCTCCACCACCCTGTCATAAAGAGGTTGGGTTTATAAGGTCTGAGTGCTCCTTCAGTTTAGCTGTTTTTGCAGTGAAAGCTGTGATGTGCATTGTAAGTGATTTTAATTTAACTTGCTACTGAAAGAACAAACGCAGCCTCTGGCCCTGTGGTATTTTTCCCAGCAACGGTTATGGTACTGTTGCCTTTTGCTTGGGCCAAAGCAATGAAAAAAGAGAATATCTGAAGCTGTCATCAATGTGCCGAACGCACATATAAAAAGTTGTAAATGAAATGCAAGCCCAGCAGTGGAGGAAAGTTATCACTCTCCGTGGGCAGCTGGGGGGAAATGAAAACAGACAAGGAGGGTTGAAGACTCTGCGGGGAGATTGGAGTCAGAGAGAGAGAGAGAGAGAGAGAGAGAAAGAGAAGGGATGCTAGATGTGCCTTTTTATTTTGTCAGAAGCTGTGCTTCCAGACGCACTGAGGGCTGAGTTATTCCTCCACGGCGGGCCGTCCAGGGCAGGGGCCCCGAGCAGAGACGCCAGTCCCACCACAATGAGCAGCTTTGGGTTGTGGTTTGGGCCCTCCGGGCTGCTGGCCAGCTCTCCCCCACCACACCCCCCTCCTCGTTCCCTTCACCCAACACCCCCTGACACCCCTAAGAGAGGCCAGGAGTCTGCGCTGGGGTTCCTGGGGGCTCCTGACAGGTGGTCCTGTTCCAGTAAAGGGGGCAGAGAGAGACGGGGCAGGGCGACAGGTATCTCTGGCGGGGAATGTGGAGCGGAATGCTTGGATGGTTCTAGCCAGCTAACTCTCCTTGCTCTTACGCTCTTCACTGTGGTGCTGGGCTCAGGCACTTGGATGCTTGCTTGACTAACAGTCTTTCTAATTTTACAGCACTCACCCGGGAATGGAATGACATAAGATAAAAATACAGTGCAAAATTCTAACTGATGTTTTCTCTCAGTATAGAAGCTATGTTTCTGTTCTGTCTCACAAAGAGCTTTCTTGTATTCTTGCAAAAACTATAAATAAAACGTCTATGTTATATGTTAGGAAAAGTAGATGTTTTTCATTCATTATCTAACTGAGTTCCAGGGAACAAAAGAATTTAATATACTTAATTTTCCCCTTAACCTGATTGTTGTCAGTCGGCCAAAAAACGTTTGGTGTCCAAAGTTTGCTTCTTTAGTACTGAGCTACAAAAATAATGTAGTTAACAATATGGCTGTAAGATTTATTTGTGTTTATATTGAAATCTTAATTTGAAGGAGTGCAGTTTCTACATTACAAGAGATGCAATTTTAATTTTAATGTACAACAACACTGTCTTACCAGGTTTTAAGTGGGGAAATGTAACCTAATAACATGGAGCTTGTGATCTGCTTGTAGATGAGTCAGACCAATGAGAAGCAACAAAACATCCTTGTGCTGTGTATGTGACAACACAGCCGCAACTAACTGGCAGTCTGGCACAATACATTCAGCTTTAAAGCCTCAAGCCAGAAAAAGTGGATATTCTGGTCTTCTTGGCCAAAAGAACAAATAGGCCTAGACCTTAATTCATAGACAGTAATTGCAATTTAAAACAGTAGTAATACGAGTCAGAAAAGTAGCAATTAGATATTTTCCCATAATCTTTCAGCCATACTAACAAGTAATGTAAGTTTATTTCTTGCCAATTAGCACATACGTATGACATATGAAATACTCTTATCTATAAAAAGTGACAAACGTACAAAATTCATGTTTTAAGCTAACTGTTTTTACTTATGTACATACTTTTGTACAAAACAAAGAAGCAGACTTAGGACTCTGAACATGTCTTGGCTGATTGAATACGTGTTGGATAAGGATAAAATTGTGTACAGTGCTAAATGTACATATGCTAAACTGTTGCTTTAACCTGTCATTTTGTGGCTGCCTTGATCAGTATGAACTGTATCAATATAAGCTGTGGTCACCATCAACTGATAAACTGGAGGGCATGTGCTGTAACTGACCAAACACGCACAAGGGAAATTTTGTTGGTGCTTGACATTGTTAGGATTCTTTCAGGGAGGAATGCACTCTTAATAGGGAATGGGGTTTGGTGAGCTATTTAAGAAATGATTGCTGTAAATCTCATTAACAAAATGTTGATCCTAACTTGCATCCTCTCTGTCTCTGCGTCTTTCTCCCTGAGCAGCAGTCTGGTGGCGACCTGTCTCGCTCTGTTTTGATCCAGATAGCTGAGTCGGCCTACAGGTTCACACTGGGCTCAGTGGCTGGAGGTGAGTCAGTCATGCATCAGTGTGCACCACCCCTTTAACTGCTCTCTCCCATCCCCTCATCCTCACCACACACTGCAAGAGAGAGGAAAAAAAATACAAAACAAAGGCTGCCCTATTTCCTTCTGAGGGGGCTGATCTAACCTGCTTAAGAAGAAGAGGAGGGTATGCATGGGAACCTCCTGTGTGGATTCTTTTGTACCTGTGAGCGATCAGAGGGACGTGTATGGGTACTAGTGTGTGTGTGAGTGAGTAGGTGGTGCTTGGCTCAGTGTTTGGCTCCAGACTGGCTCTCTCGGAGGAGACAGGTTAATAAGGAGGTAGCGCCCGACCAGGTCTCTCTTTAATTAAGCCTTTCGGAGCTGTGTCCCCTTTGTGTCCAGTGCAAACTTGTCAGATAAGGCTTGACTGATGAGCTCAAAATATCCTGACAGCTCTTTTAGCTTTTTGTCTCGCTCATTTTCAGTTTAACGTGCACTTCCCAACAACCCCCTCACACTTCCTGACCTGCTTCTCTTCCTTTACTTTACCTTTTGCCTTTTCTGTATATCTACATGTTTCAAAATTTGTTTACAAATCCCTTTCGCTCTCATTTTGCAGCCGTAGGGGCTACAGCAGTGTATCCCATTGACCTGGTAAAGACTCGCATGCAAAACCAGCGCTCCTCTGGTTCCTTTGTGGGAGAGCTGATGTATAAGAACAGCTTCGACTGCTTCAAGAAGGTGGTGCGCTACGAGGGCTTCTTTGGTCTCTACAGAGGTCAGTGCCCAAGACCCCAGAGAGGTCCTACAGCAAGGCAGGGACGAGTCACTCTCACCGTTAGCCTGGCTTACTTAAAGCTACTTGTGCAGATAGCCAAGACATGTTTGGTGTATAAAGTTTTCTTCCTTACTTTTGCTGTGAGTATAATGTCGCTAACAATAAATGGAGGCATATATCCCTCCAAACTGTAAGCCCAAATCATCACACACTTATTTCACACCTCAATTTGAAGCAAGTGTGTGGTGATTTGCTCATGTGGTTGCAGTGTAGCTTATAGTATATACATAGTGTAAGATACACTGCAAGCAGTGACATTATGACAAGTGAAGTTAGCTCAGTTGCTATATCTAGTTGATATCTCTAATATTTCTCATGTATATACACATATATGACATATTTTACTAGTCATTTTAAGTCATTTTGTATAGTGACATTGTATTGACTTTGCTTAACTTTGCTTGTTTCTGGCATTATTTCTTACAACAAGCAAAATTTTTCTTGCTTTTCAATTCTTTCCTCAAGGTCCAGTTATGACATTTGTGTGCTATTATGTAACAGAAACATAATCCATTTTTGACCTCTCATTATCTCTTAGAATTAAATTGGCTCTGTTACAAATTTTTGTAGATGACCTCTCTCCTGGCTGCTCTGTATTGTGCATCATTCAAAAAGTAGTCCCAGCTGAAACACTCCTTTCAGCCCAAATGGGTGGGGCTAAACTGATGAAGCTTTAATAGGTGGATGTATGTAAATGATAGGGTTTTTTTTTGACATCACAAAAACAGTGAATTCAAAATGGGCTGTTTTTGCAGTTTAATTTCCATATGTGGACTGTATGAACTGGGATCTTCGACCCTTCAAATAACCAGTCTCAATACACACTTCTATAATCTAAGAATAGCAGCCAGTTTGTCAGCCAGTTTGCATTGAAGTCTCTGTAGTTACTGAATAATAAGCCTTAGTATGTAATAAGCCTGGGATTTTAAGGGTTTAACATTGTTTACATACTACAGCAAACTCTATTATTCCGCAATAAGCAAGGGTATGAAATGGACACTTTAAAACAAGTAAAAACCTCCAGAAATAAGTTGAATTTTACAGTATTCTCACAAGAATCTTATAATGAGAAATATAAGATATATATTCAAGATGATTTTACTTGCGTAGATATAATTTATCATTGTAGAAAAATGGCCTTAAGTGTACACAATATTTATGGACGCTACTGTTGTTTTAGGTATGCAGCGTACTTCAGACACTGAACATGCCTTTTCGCCAATCTTTTGCTTTAAGAACGAGGAGTATAAATCCAGGCAGTGCTCCATACAGCTGTCTGTGGGGCTAAGATAGGAATCACATGAGCAGCTTTTAGTGATGCAGCTCTTCACAGCCGTCTGTGGGGTCATTCCAAATAATACTGCTGTTAGGATTGAAATAGTAATGGACAAGAATGATTGCCACATGACATCCATTAAGGACACTAAAAGCCTGGCTTTTGTCTGTCAAAAGTCTGACAAAAGAACATCTAAGACTGTCACCTGTATAAGAAGCTGGAATATTAAAGCACTCACTGCATCAAATTCATGATTGAAATATTGGTTGCTAATAATGTGTTTGCTTACTTCACAGAGTCTCTTTAATTATAAGCGGCCCAGGGAACAAAAACGTTTTTCACACAATATAATCAAAAGCAGGAACAAAATCATGTGCAAATTTTGGCTCAGTTCAAATTTAGTTAACCAGTTAATAACTGTATTTTGTTCTGGTTAATTTTAAAAGATTTAGAGATTAGATGCTAAATTTTTTTTATTCTTTTTTTAAATTCATTCTACACAGAAACAGTCTTTTTTTTTCATTAACTCATAAAAAACACCACAGTAGATGAAGGGGAGTACTCAGATCAGTATAACATAAAGCATGAACTATATGTCTACATACATACATACATACATCATCTAAACCGCTTATCCTTCTGGGTCGCGGTGGGGTGCTGGAGCCTATCCCAGCTGTCATTGGGCGGAAGGCAGGATACACCCTGGACAGGTCACCAGTCCATCGCAGGGCAGACAGACAGACATACACAATCACACACTCACTCACACCTAGGGGCAATTTAGCACGTCCAATCAGCCTGACTGCATGTCTTTGGACTGTGGGAGGAAACCGGAGTACCCGGAGGAAACCCACGCAGACACGGGGAGAACAGGCAAACTCCACACAGAAATGACCCCGGTCGCCCAGCCAGGAATCAAACCCAGGCCGATCTTGCTGTGAGGCGACAGTGCTGTCCACTGCACCACCGTGCCGCCCTGACTATATGTCTAAATGCACTTTATTTTTTGAAAATTTGAGTTACACTATGATTTTTTTTAATGAGTTAAGAAGTTTTTAAGTCCAGCAGCACAGCCGTTATTTGGCTTTTTCTTGGTTGATTGCGGATCCAATTTGCTGGCTACTTTGTGTATTTTCATTCTTTGTCCAGCATTCTATTTTCCTTCTCTAATTGGTAACCAGTACATAAAAACACTATTAATGGCATTCTGCAGGTAAAGCATACTATTTGAATATTAGGCATGTGCTCTTAAAATAACAATAACAAGGCTGCATTTAATCAGTCAAAATTTGACCAGAACTCTGTTTGTTTGTTTTATGAAAAATACTGATTGTTATCAGTTTTTGTTCACTGTGAACTGTTGCTAATCCCTGTTCCGCATGGAGCAGGGGCTTCAAAGTGGGCCTCTGGTAAGAACACTAAAATGCAGAGATGCATCCTACAGTTGAGGTGGGGGCAATTCAGTGGAAAAATACTCAAAACCAATTAAAAAAAACTCAGCATGGAGGATTTATTGAAGAGTGAGGACCCAGGGACTTTGTGAACACAAGAGGCTATGACTTCACTTTCTTTGAAAACCTCAAGTAAACATGCATCAAGAGAGCGGTAGGTACTTAGCAGAGCTGAAATGGATGATTACCTTTAAAAAAATGATTAGTGCTGTTCTCCCCCTTAAGCTTACATACAGACCACACAAACCAGCTCCTTCAGCCTTGCCTAATGATACGTTTGGCCTCATGTTGCTGTGTGGCCAATTTGGACCCTTACTCACCCACACTATTAAAGTTGTTTGTTACTCTTGGGGTTGTGCGAGTTTGTGTTTATGTACACGTACAGGTTGAGGTTTATCCTCATGACTTTCAATTCCGAATTTTTTTCTGTGTGTATTCAGACTAGAAGTCTTTGCATTTTAATTGAGGCCTGTGTAAACTTTGGTTGAGCTTGTTTTTAAAGGGAGGAAATAGATTTTTCTTTCTGTGTGTTTCACTGCGACCGTCCCGTTGTCTGAACACTCCACATCAATAACGTTCATTACTGTGGGGATGATGGGAGATTCGGATGCATGGAGTCTCCTTTAAATTGAGGAGATTTCTCCTGGCCGCGAGTCTTGCTTCCTTAAGCTCCTCTCTTTTTTAATCATCTTGTTTCCTAATTATAGGCCTGGTACCGCAGCTTCTGGGCGTGGCCCCCGAGAAAGCCATAAAGCTTACAGTAAGTGCTCAGCCCTCACCACATTAGCCTGGGCCTGTTCACCATCAAACCATTCCACTCCCCGAAGACATACACTGTTGCCCTCCTCTACCCACTTCGTTGCACGCATTCCCCTTACCAACCTACAAGCTACCTGAGTCACCATGCTGAAAGAATTAAAAGAATGCAGAGAACAAATCTCTGTAAACTTTGCTTCATTTGGTGATGATATCACATTTCTGATATCTACATATCTGTCAGCCTGTTGAACTTGAAAAGAACAAACCAAAGATTCTACCCTTTCCTCAAGAGCTTCTATTAATTTACAGCATGAAAAACATGGAAAATCAGCAGCCAAAAAGGATTCTGATTAGCTGTAAAGAGATATTATCATCTGTTTTATTGACCTGAATTACGTTGCTCTGGCTGTGCTGTTGTGTACTGTTTGTAAGAGAGCTGTTATGCCTTTGCTTATGTCTTTTCTCTACCAGGTAAATGATTTTGTGAGAGGGAAAGCTATGCAGAAAGATGGGACAATCCCACTGCACTTGGAAATCCTGGCTGGTGGATGTGTGAGTAACTGTCCACTTTTATTTTTAATGTGCATTACAACACAATCCATGCATCCATGTACTGTCACAGCATCCTTTTGTCCTTTAGTAAAACGGATAATTAATGGCATTTAGCTAAAAATGTGGATAAGATTTGAGTTCGAAGCCCTGGGGCAGGCACTTTTCTTCTTTTGTTGTGGGATTGGAAAGGCAAATCCATCCCATCAGTGCCTAAACCGCATTTTAAACCGCCGTCTCAGTGTTCCCTCACCTAGAGATCACACGCAACAGCGTTAGTGCAGCTACTTATCATGTTACGCCTTCCAAGCCTTTTCACAGGGTCACTGACCCTGTGCATTATCAATGAGTCAACAGTAGACCTGGGAGTGTCGCACAAAAGCCTTAATTTCATACGCTCTGCTTCCCTCTACTCAGTGTGGAGGCAGAGGAGCTGAGTAGCTTCTGCTAATTTTTTTGTTTTTGAGCTGTTTTTCAAGTAAGACATCCATTTGGACATCAGAGCCCATGTTTCTTTGAGCTGAGAGTAGCTCGGCCATTTGTGCCCTTTGGCTGTGCACTGTGTGTGTGTGCGTGTGTGACCTGACCTAGGATCAGATGATGCCTGTGAGAGAGGCAGACAGGCCTGCTACCTGAGAGGCTAGTATGTTTGATCAGTGAGCTGTCAGACTGCTCCCCCCTCCCCCAGGTCTGCTCCGACCCTGTGCCATCAGCGCCGCTTCCTCAAAGAGCCGCTTTCATTAGACCACGTTTGATGGCCTTCACCAAAGCATAATATTCAGCAATGCATTCTTCATTTCTATGCATGTGAGTTTAGCATTAAGGGGCAGGATGCTTGTATTTTTTTTGTGTTTCTTTTTTTCCTCTGAAGTCAATTTGCAATATCTGTGTAGTTTTAGGCACTTAAAATGTCATATTTCATTTTTACATGGGAATTTTCAAACCTTTATTTATCCGTTAGAATTAGACATACTGTTTTTGTTACTTTGCTTTGGAGACTGATATGATGTCAGGTAACATTGTATAATCGCTGCTATTTTGAGGACTGAATAGGGGATTGACTGCGCTAGCTAACGAGATACCTTTCTATTTACTGTACTGTTGGTTGCTCTCTTTCATGTATTGAACTGCAAAATATGTTCACAATAAACCTTAGCTAATTCCTAGATTAGCAAGAACTGTCTGGGTGAGTACGATAATCCACCTTTATTCCATTTTGTTATGATCAAACCTAACCAACTTTGTCAAACTATCTTTAAACTACCTAAAAAGCATCCATCAATTCTGCCTGCCTATAATGAAACAATGAACCACAAGAGGCTATGTGTTACAATGATTTTCTGATGAGTGAGGTCGCTATTATGCAATATGCAAAGCAAAATGTCTGAAACCACCTTACCTGGAATAAAATCACTGTAATGCATGGCATCAAGTAGAATATTGCTTGTATACAATGGCAGATGATGTAAAATAGTTTTTCAAAAAATTATTTATTATTAATTATGATTGAGATAAACAATTCTTCTGACAGGAAATTTAGTTTTATAGTATGTTATTACTGCCAAGCAGCCATGGAGTTGGGATACTGTACAAAATGTAAATAAATAAAATGCAGTTATATGCATATAATGTAAACCCTATATTTGATTTAAAAGACAACATATTAAATGTTGAAACTGAGAAATTTTATTGTTTTTTGAAAAAAAAAAAAAAGCCCGTTTTGAATTTGATGCCAGCAACACGTTCCAAAAAAGTTGGGACAGGGGCTTCTTTCAACAACACTCTATAAACATTTGGGAACATTGGGAGGAGACAGACTGCTGTAGTTTTTAAAGTGAAATATTTTTCCATTTTTGCTTAGTATAGGATTTCAGCTTCTCAACAGTTCAGGGTCTACTTTGTCATATTTTTCATTTCATAATGCGGCAAATGTTTTCATTGGGTAACAGGTCTGGACTGCAGGCGGGCTACTTTAGCACCTTGATGCTACAGAGACATGCTGTTGTAATACATACAGTATGTAATTTTACATTGTCTTGCTGCAATAAACAACAAGACAAGGCCTTCCCGGAAAAAGACGTCATCTGGATGACAGCATAAGTTGCTCAAAAACCTGAATATATTGTTTAGCGTTAATGGTGCCTTCACAGATGTGCAAGTCACCAATCCCATGTTGCACTAATGCAGAAACCCTTCCCATCAGGGATGCTGGCTTTTGAACTGTGCGCTCATAACAAGCCGGGTGGTCTTTAGCTGAAATCATGAAAAGTTCTTTGCCGTTTTACGTTAAGAAACGTTATTCTTAAATTGTTTCACTATTTGCCTGTGCGGTCTTTCACAGAGTGGTACACCCCTCAACATTTTTACTTCTGAAAGACTCCTTGGGATGCTCTTTTTATACCCAGTCATGATACTGACCTGTTGCCAAGTAACCACCAGGTGTTTTTTTTATTATTGTTATTATTATTATTATTATTATTATTATTATTATTATTTAGTATTACACAACTTTACCAGTCGTTTGTTGCCCTATCCCAACTTTTTTGAAACGTGTTGCTGGCATCAAATTTTCATGTTCATGGTTATGGTGTATAGTATGGTATATTAAAACTGTAAGAATGTTTATGTACTTCAGACTAGTTTACTTCAAACACAAGGAAAATTAGTTTTTCCACAAAAGGGGCCCTTTAAATGTCACAAACACTTACATAATTGCATGTCTTGATTAAACCTTCAGGAGTGCAGCTGACCCACAGAATTGTTCACGTTGATATTTAGACTGCACATCATGAAGAGAAATGTTCCTCTGAAAGGCATATAGAGCAATGGCTTGTGCCGGGCTGAGTGGACATGTTTTCCCTCGTGTGATTTTCTTGACAGCTTCTTTCATCCAGGCCGAGCCCTCGGCGTTGGGGCTGGCAGGCCGTGCCGCTTTTCTCACGCCTCTCCGCGTGCCGCACGCTCTCAGCCCTGTTTATTGACACTGCAGTCATGGCAAATCAGATGGATTTATTTGGTTTTAGGGGGGAGACTAAACTGCTGATTTGAGCATGGTGAGCACTCCTGTCATAGTAGAGTTACAATAAGAGAGAGAGAAAGAGAGACAGATGACCAGCCTTATGGAAAAGCTTGGTTAATGCATTTTTGTGAGGCTTTTAAACTGTTAAGTGCTCTCCTCTTCTCTCCACTTCTCTCCTCTCCTCTCACATTGCAGCCTCTGAATTAGACTCTTGACAGTTGCCAAGACTTAATAATTATTTGGTAAGAACAGCATGCTTCGCTGACCGAGAAGTTGGCTGGATGCTTATCTCGTGCTTGCTAGCCCTCATTTGAGGGCCGGGTTACTCAAAATACTTGCACAGCCAATGTTAAGAGCAGTAGAGAGAGGGGGGAAACATGGCAGGCATACAGTGACGCTTTGTTCGTTTGCAGTGTGGATTGTAAAACGATGTAATTTAGCCTGCTTAATGTTATTTTGCTATTGTAATGCTTTGTTAGTCTGTTGTGAAAGTGTTATCATCTTGTGATATCACCAAATAGGTGTTTTCTTTTATCACCTTTCTCCCCACTTCTGTGTGCAAACACGCTCGTGCGATACTCGCTGAAGTGATAATTTGACACCCATGAACGTCTGAGTGAATTTTAATGGAGGGAAGCTAATGTTTGTGTCTGGCGCTAAGCTATTGTTTGTCTAAGAGGAGTGAAGTGTAACCGTGTGTAAGTAGCAGTGCTTGTTTGTGTGTGTGTGTGTGTGTGTGTGTGTCCCAAGATTTTTGCTGTTGCCAGTAGAGTGTGTCTCAGGTACACCTCCACCACACCCAGCAGCCCTGCCCGCCTGTGGGCCTCACCTTGCCTTGTAATTATGACTGAATTATTGGACTGCCACCGCCTCTGTCACTCTGCACCCAAATCCCATTTCTCACACTGACATATGGCTCCGTGGACGGCTCTAAATGCCTCTCTTTCACAGCTGATTGAGCTATTGTCTCCCACTAACCAGTGCCTTGGTTGTTTATTGTTTGTTTTCTTTTTTGTAACTCTTTAAATTTCCAATTAGTACCCAATTGATATGAGTGAACGACCTGGCCCGCACTCCCCTCTTCAATTTTAGCGTGCCATTTCTTGCCAAAACAACTTTAAAGAGATCGCTCTCGGGGCTGATGCTCTAATTAACTATAAAAGATCGTTTTCCACATAAATAGCTATTAGGTTTTTTGCTGGGAGCTGGGAGAGGCAGGCGAGCCTGCTCTGCCAGTCTGCGCTCTAATGTCCTCTGGAAGGGAAGTGTGGGTCATTCTGCTCAATTCTATTTAAAGTGCACCTTCAATGAGATGATTATGATCTTTCCCTCCGAATATGGTAATGCTTACTAAATGGCTTTTTTAAAAGTGCTCACTCGCAAGATTGAGACTCATTTGCTACATTCCCGTAAGACAGAGCCGTGCGCACAATTCCACATTCATATCTCCAAGGAACAGGGAGGAGAGAAGACTAACAACAAACAAACAGTGAGGGCCTTATTTTTGAAAAGGGAGGCTGAAGGAAGGAGAAGAAATCCATGGAAACAGATTTCCATCTAATTGCGGCTATGCTTTCCTCCGTGCAACCTCAGTAACTAGGAGCAACGGGGAAGATAGGGCACAGAGGCGGCAGGCTGCCAGCCTCTCAGGCGAGACGTGTTGAAATGCGGCCGTAGCCAGCCCAGATATGTGTGTGTCAGAAGCAGAAGTGTTTTCAAAGAGCTGGAAGGAACCTGTTCCAGCTTGTGCTGGCTGTTTTATCTGCCGCACAAATGCAAGGTTGGAGCCGCAAGGTCGAGGTTGTCTCCTGGAGGCCCCTCAGGGCCTGCATTCTGTCTGATGTCTCAGGCATGGTCTGTCTGTCTGTCTGTTGCATGGACAATATGGTCCTGTGTAAGAGCACAATCTAATGTATGATCTTAGCAAGAGCTGTTGAAGGCATTGTCTCATGTTCTCTCTTTGACAGGAACATAGGCAGGGAATTTCTTAACACATGGTTAGACCTCAGACCTCAACTAGCTTGTCCAGCTGTCCAGTGCATGTTCTGTTTTTGTTTTTGGTCTGATTTTTTCTTTTCCCATCTCTCACACAAACCTCTGTTGTTGAGGAGGCTTAAAACAAGCTTTGTTGTGTGTGAAACTCTAGATTGGGTTTATAGATTAAGGCTAAGGCTAAGTTTTTTCTTTCTTATTAATTAGTTGTTTATAGGAAAACCTAACTGAACTCAACCCAACTTTTGTCAGAAAAAGTGCAACTTTTTAGGTGTTTAGATTCAAGTGTAAAGTCGTCGGTCATGTCATTTAAAAGTCTATTTTTAGATCTATTTTTCAAGGTCATACAGCCACATCATTGCAAAATCCCGTATTCCCCTACTTGTTAAAAGTACAGGCAAATTGTTTGAAACTTGTCAATATCCATGCCTAAGTAACCCTGCAAAGTTATTTTGAAAGTATAATAGTGACAAAATAAAAGTTTTGAAAACTTTATTGTTTACTCTATTGTCCAATCAGAACTAAAAAAAAATCTCTAATGGTGCTAAAAATTGTACCAAGGAAAATTTGCAAGCAAAGTGAAATCACAATTAATCCTGTTATTAATTCCGCAGCTGCACATTAGAAAAAAATCTGAATTTCTGACTTGTCTTACATGCTCACAGTGGGCCTAATCCTGTGTGTTAAGGTTGGAACACTGCTTATAGTTGTGGTAAATTGGAAAAGGCAAGGTCTGGCAAAAAACACAGCAGTGGATAGACACGACTTGTCGACATGACTACTACAAGTAAAGTAAGTGTTTTTAAAATATGACATAGCTTAAACACAGCTCATCCAATCCCACATGCCCAATATTTTTGGAAGTGAATCGAAATCAGACCTTTGGTTTGTTTCTAATTTAAGCATCCAAGTTTTCTGCAGGGTCAGATTTTCTGATCTGGCAGTGTTACACTTTTCTGTTCAACTTAATGCAAATTTATATTTTCTTGATCAAATCAATAAGGCTGAGTTTATCTATAGCAGTGTATATATGTACATGTTCCCTAGGCTGGTGGCTCGCAGGTGATCTTTACCAACCCGCTGGAGATCGTGAAGATCCGGCTGCAGGTGGCAGGAGAGATCACCACAGGGCCACGCGTCAGCGCTCTCTCAGTCATCCGTGACCTGGGCTTCTTTGGCCTTTATAAGGTAAGCTTCCACACGCCCTGTCTCTGTTTTCCTTCTAGAACTTGTGCTGACATACCCAGAACTTAAAGCACAAACAATCCAGTGTAAAAATTTGGAATGGAAAATTTACATAAAAGCAGCTCTGCTCTGATAGTTTTTTTGATCTTCAACATTGGAGGCCCCAAGAGAACATCTTCAGCTCTCTAGCGCCTCCCACCTGCTGCTTGCAGTCTCTACTTTCTCTCCCACACTAACTCGATGGTTCCTCTTGAGGCTCTCTCTGAGCACCAGCAGGGATCTACACAGACACACACACACACACACACACACACACCCACACACCATCAGGGCTCAATCGACTCCCTGCGGACTGCTGCGTAAGTTAGCCCAGGCAGTTCCAGCCACTCAGCCCATGAATGAGGATTCTAATATTCCTTTTCTGCCTGAGTGCTGTTGTTGTATGGAACGTATATGTATGAGTACAGCAGTGCTGCAAGAGTGGTTCTGGGTTGAGCCGAGCCGGCACAGACCCGTTGCATTCCTGAGGCTTGGAGAGAAAGCGGCTGTGGAGAGCGTGTGTTTTGGTGTAAACAACGTGGTTTAACTGCCGTGATGGCTTTCGGTCATATCTCATCCACCAGACTTATTTTATGACATTTTATAGCCTACTAGACTGTGACCAAGTGGCAAGTCAGTGTCAGCGGTATCGCTCTGCTGGTGATGCTACAAAAATTATAGAATGGCATTGATAATGGCTTTTCGATGTACACAAGTCCAGTTGTTTTAATCTATTAAATAGATATTATATGATTTTATCATAATAATTTCAAATCAACCCAGCGTGAATTCTGTCAACACTAAAACATTTTCTTGACTCGTTCATGCCCCACATACAGGCAAAGTAGTAGTAGTAGTACTAAATCTTTATTGTCCCTTCCTAGGGCAATTTGGTTACAGGATGATTGAAATGGACATGACATAATACATATTATACATAACATAAAAACAAGGTGCTTTGCAAATGTCAGAGACCATCCTTCATATAAAATTTCCAATAAAAAAGTACAAGATATTCCTTTTTGAGAAAACATATTTAACAGAAAATTACACACAAGCCTCAACAACTGAACATAATGTACATTTTTCACTATTTAATGTTTCCACCTTTTGCTTTAATTACAGCTTCAGTTTTTTCAGGAGGCTTGCTTTTAGTTTTTCAAAGAAATCTGCAAGGATATTTTTTCATGTTTCTCAGTCCTAGAAGTTGATTTCATTTTCTGCTTGACACAATCCAAGTAATCTCAAACACATTCAGTGATGTTGAGGTCTGGACAACTTTTTTGTTGTTGCTTTTTGGCTCTTTTTCTCAGTAACAGCTTCTTGACAGCTACAAATCCTTTCAGACCTATAGCGTTGTATTGACTTCTCACAGTGGAAGGACAGACAGAAACACCTGTGGATTTTGTCAGATCTGAAGTGAAATTAAGTGGAGCTTAATTTCCTCTCAAAATTGAAAGATGTATGATGACAGTTTTGGTGGTCTACCAGGTTTACATGATGGTTAGGAGCCTCAGTTTCTCTATATTTTTTAAATAATTTTTTGAACTTCAGTTTTGGAAGTTTCTGTTTTTTCACTTACTTCCTTTGTCTTTCTTCTTTCTTAAATGTTCCTTAAATATAAGTGGATTGTATTATATTTAATCTTATCAAAATTTCTACTGACAATTAATTACTTGCACTTAATGGCTGTTTTGACTAGAAGTAAAATAAATGGCTTTTACACAATACTATACATAATATATTTTTTGAGCATTCACAAATTTTGCACTGCCTTTTTTCAATTTATTTTTGATAGCAGCAGTAGCGCCCGGAATAAAAGAGTTAGACACTCTAACAATTCTAAAGTGGGGTACTTTGTACCGCTGACTCTGTGCAAGAGTGAGTATTAATTTTTTGTATTATTTTATTTCAAATCAAAGAAGATTTTCTCATTTGCATTGGATGTATGTAGTGTCCTAGATTAATAAGGACAGTACAGAAGATATCAGTGCATCAAAGAGCCTGTCTCAGGGAGATCTCAGTGCAGGTAGTGTGTGTGGTGTATGTGTGATACAGATGGAGATGTGTCCCACTGGTCAGGTAGCTGTCTCCAGGGCTCACCTGTCAGCCTGTCGTGGGAAAGGAGCTTTTATTTCAGAGTACGGGGAGAGAATGGAGTGTATAACAGCCTGTGTGTGTGTCTGTGTGTGTAAGAATGTTGGATCCGGCCCCTGCGCTCTGTCCGCCTCTCTCCAGCTCTGTGGACAATGTGCATTGAGTACAGAGACGCGCTGCAGCCTGCTTGTCCCAGACGGCCTGGCTCCTCAGGGCCCGGCCCAGGCACAGAGCCGCCTTTGTCAGTCTAATTACCCCGCCTCTCCCCTGCTGCTGCTGCTGGAACCTCCAACACCATCACTCCCTACCTCTCCACATGAATAGCTGCGCATGCTCTTTAGTAGGTATGACCCTGGTCCGAGTTTTTTGATATCGAGTATTGGCTGATCCCAACTCCAAACCATTATTATTATTTTTTTTTAGAGATAGGTTAGACAGTTAGTAAAACCAGTACAGTTTAGGTTAGCTAGGCTGCCAATTACTTCATGCTGCAATAAAATCACTTAATTTGTGTGTGTAGTAAGTGCATAAGGTGGCACGCTCCAAACTGATACGTTTAGACATTTGAAATGCTTTGTTGTAACAATCATTTTATGGTGTCTTGAATCCACGGATTTCAAGTTGCTCTAACATGCATGAAGTAGGCTACTGCTTACTCACTTTGAACGCACTGTTACCGATAGATTTGTTATAGCTGTGCAGCAAGTGGCTGTTGGCCTGTTTTGTTTTCCATCTTGAAATAGTTCCACACTACAGAAATATGTCACTGCTATAAGTTGTGGAAAATGTCCCCTATGTTAGTTCTACGACAATATTGTGAAGCACAATGGCGTAAAATAGCCTTGGAAAAAATAGGGTTCGGTGGTGTAACAGTTGTGACATGTAAAAAAAAAAATGCAATATTTAAAAATGATGACGGAATTTTAAATTTTTGACATATCAAATTTCTGTTTAATGTCTGAACAGCTGAATGAACAGATTCCACCCATTTATATTTTAGAGGTTCACTGATAGGTAGTGTTGTGTGCTCACTGATATGTGAGCGATGGCTAAGAGCTACACACCCCACAGAGCAGGTTCAACTTCAGCTTTCTCTGTAACACAAGTCACTCGACTTTGCGCTTTCAGAGTTCAACCAAGTGGGTGTCATTTTAGCGTTAGTTAGCTGGAACCAAGCCTGTGCTGTGTGACTTGTTCGGCCTGCTAGTGCTAAGTAAGCTCATGTAAACTTAGCCAAGCTTGTGCAGTGTGACACATTTGGCCTGCAAACTAAGCTCTTGTTAGCATAGCCAAAACGCTACAGTCACAAACACCACACAACAGGTTTGATTTTGGCTTTTTCACTCCAGCACCAGTCATTCTACTTTTGCTCCTTTAGACAATAGCTTTTATTATCTACACTTGCCAGCAGTGCACCACTTGGTCAGAATCAGACATATACTGTGGTATGTGGCACTGTTTGGGTTTATTGCCTATATGCTAAGCTAATGTTAAGTCAGCCTATCAAGCTACAAATCCAAACACCAAGGAACAGGTTTAATTTAATCTTTGTCTTATCAACACCCGTTTCTCCACTTCACTCCCTTATATATTATTAATTATCATTTAAACTTGTATCAGTGCTTTAGTTACCCAGAATCTAACAGATTCTGTGGTGAGCAGAGCTGTTATCATGCTAGCTAAGCTAATGTTCCTCTCTCCTAGTTTTCAGCACTGTTTAACATATATCAACTGTTAGATTGATAGCTTGACATTTATCAAATGATGCCTTGAAAATCATGCCCTGACTTCACTTATTTGGTGATTTTTAAATAATGCCTTTTGTAACAACACAAAACAGTATAATCATAAATGCTATTATGACACTTTTGACCTCTACCCTATCCCTGGTTTGAAGGCATTAAAGAAAGAGAATCCTACCCACTCTACCAAGCTTAATGGGGAATTCCTGTGATTTTTCAAAATGTCTTCATAATTCTTGTTTGAAATGTAAACACAGAGTGGTTTGATGTGAAGTGGTGCATTATAGAGAAACTTATTTGGATTTCTTTACAGTGGTGGTGACAGGAACCAGGGGTCACGATGTCTACAACACAAAAATAGCCATTTTATTTACTATCCAAAACCACAACCGTCTTCTGAGTTTTTATGTGCAGCATTGATAGTGGTAAAATAGTGGTAAATGTTTCTTTAGGGACTATTTTACCTTACAACACCTTGCATGTATCTCTCTGCCATGAAGAGAATTTAAAATTATGTTTTAGGCCAAAATGTCTCTCAGAGCCATCCTAAAACAATTTTTCAGACATGTATTCATAACCATTTTAAGTAATATTTTTCTGTGAGGTGGCTTAAGAGGCATTATGTCTGGTTCCTGCCACCATCACTGTAAACAATTGTCTGCTATGTTCATAAATGGCACATAGCAAATAAGCCTTTTAATAATTCCCCCCAAAAGAGTAATTGTGTGCTGTGGAATAGCAGATGTTTCAGATGGGTTTCTGTGGGTGTTTCAATGAATCAAGACACATTTTGCAAGTTAAATCTCCATCGCTATATGCAGCAGTATACTGGAGATATGTCCTTATCGTGCAGATCTGCACACCTTCACATTCACCATCTCCCCAGCTGTGAGGCTTGCATGTGGTGTTGTCAAGTTATCGCACATACAGAGGGCCAGTGGATCCAGATGTTGTTCAGTCTCTGGTGAAGGCTGGGCTGTGTTAGCGCTGCACTCCTCTACAAGTTTGCTGAAGCCTGCCAGAGCAGATGAGCCAGGCCCAGCCCTCAGAAACAGCACCAATTACTTTTTTTTCTTTTTTACTCCTGCTTTTCAGCAGGCACGCTGCCCTGAGCAAAGAGAGAGAGAGAGACTGACTTGCAGAAAGAGATAACTCAGCTATCTGTGCTACCTGTGTAGGAGGGGCAGATTAAGCTGGAGTTAAATGGAGCCTGTCTAAAGAGCACTCAGGGCCAGAGTAAAACCCCTGGGCCGAGTGCTGTGACTGTCCAGCTCCTTGGCCTCCTCTCTTGGACGTCTGCCAAGCCAGTAGAGATGAGGAACCCGAAACTTAGAGAGTCAAACTTAGTTTGACTCTCACATGCATCCAAAAAAGGTACTGGATGACCCTTAGAAGTCTACAATTATTATTGTTTTGCAATACTGTGCATATGTTGTTATGTAATTACATAATTCCTTATGTGGTAAGGGTGGGTGATACGGCATCATGATACAAGATATGCGCCGCTATATTGAATTTTTTCTTTCTCTTTAATTCTTTAAAAACTGATGATACACTTTTCGGAGCATATCGTGGATAGTAGAACAAAATGTGAAGTAATTTCAGAGATTTCATGATATTTACTGTCATATCATCATATTGTCCACCCTATTAGATTACATTTTACGGGTTTGAGTCTGCGATTCTGACTTTTATTAGTTCATTAGGTCTGGTGTCAAAAGTGACGACATGTGGCAAAATAAATGATTATTTTTCTGTCCACAAAACAAGACTGAACTCAACAATAAGTTCATCAAATACAGATCATCTACACAAATATGTTATTAACTGAAAGTTTACTGTCCACAGAATTACTCCTTTAAAATGAACGAGAAAAAATGTCAGATTATATCATATGTTTCTCACTGCCCTTTAAAAAAAAAATCTAAAATTTGAAAAAAGGCAATACACTGGGTTTTAAAGAAAGATGGACGGTTACACACACACACACACACACACACACCATCATTCCCAAGGTCTGACTTTAACACACCATAAACCAAAATCCCAGAATACCTCACAAAACTACAATGCCCCTGTGGTTACTGGAGGAAAAAAGGCCATTCATCAAAAAATGTTACATTACGTTGGTTGCTGAGAGCAAGTAGCTGTACATCTAGTATTAAACGACATGGAAAACAGTAAAAACCGGTTGTAATTCTGCCAGTTAAAGTTTACAAGTGTCTCTCTGTCTCCTCCCCTCTCTCTCTCCCCCAGGGCGCAAAGGCCTGCTTCCTGAGAGACATCCCCTTCTCAGCCATCTACTTCCCGTGCTACGCGCACGTCAAAGCGGGCCTGGCTGACGAGGAGGGCCGGGTGGGGCCTGGCAGGCTGCTGCTGGCCGGGGCGGTGGCGGGTAAGCCGCCGCGTGCTCTCCGCTAGCCGCCTGCCACCACTGGCTCCGCTGTGGTTGGCCCTAATTAGAGTGCTCAGTGATTTAGGCTGCGTTTTGAAGTGCGGCATGCCTGCCAAGGGTCGGGATATTTTCCACTGTTAATATATAGGAACTGGCAGCCTGGGCTTCTTAGTCTGTGAGTGTTAAATGAAAAAAAAAATCTCCAGATCCCCAAGTAGCAGTGCTGCAAGGGCAATAAACGGATCTTACGATGTTGGCAGCATCAGGCCAAAACATCCAAGATCCCTCTCTTTCCTCATCGTATATAAAATATGATCTAGATCTGGTGGGTTTTTTTTTTTAAATATTTTATTTTTGTGGTTCATCTTAAAGAAAACACAGTTTAAAAGGCGACAGAGACCGCCAAGCCAGCATGGTTTGGAGCAGCAGTAAAGGAGAATTAATATTTATTTCTAATCCCTTTTGCCTGATGGATATGTCCGATTTACTGCTGTACAAGTTGGTCCCGAGCGTGGTGCGAAATGGAAAAGCCATGTATGGTCAAAGCGAGCACAGCATTCCTGCCTTCAACCAGCATTTTATTTCTGTCAGTGCTGTTGGCTGGGTAAAGCACGCTTTATGATTAGGTATGCCCTTTCAGGGTGTATCACTCATTTCACCATTTATCAGCAGCTAGAGCTCGCAGGCAATTAGTGATTTACAGTCGGCTCAGGAAATTGAATTACACGCTCAGTTTGCTGGCCATTATTTGTGCGGCAGACTTCTGGATCCTCATAAGCATACAGCTAAACGTTCCGGCTTCTATAGGCAGAGCTGAATTGGGGCGCATTCAGGCTAGAGTCTGACCAATATGTTGTTTTGCTGATAAAATCTGCTGATATATGTCACAAATTTATTGACATTACTGTAAATATCACTGATAAAGTACCAATAATGTCTCTTTAAAGGGCCCATAACCTACATTTTTGTTGCTTTTTTTTGCTTATAATATTTGTGTGCTTTTATGTAGCAAAAACAGTCATAATGCATTTTACTTGACCATTTCCAAGCTCTATTTAGCTCTTAGGTTGTTGACTGTTTTATTGCTGCACCTTTAAGACTGATATATGTATATGACAGTTGTCCTGATTGGCTGCCCTGCGTTGTGGGTTCCTCAGAAAGACATCTGGGTTGAAACACAACACTCTTTATGACCAAAGTGTGAATAGCCGGAGCTAAACTGCTTTGTTAATTTTGTTTTTTGTGACATCACAGACACAATAAATTCAAAATGGGCTGTTTTTGCTGCTTAGTTTCCATATATGAACATTTTGAAATTTTATGCACTTTTATTTAAAAAGTGAAGAAAAAAATCTATGATAAATGTAAATGTTCTGTAAGAAAACCACAGGGACGTGATGCTGTTTTAGTAACACAATTGGAAATTTAAATTTTTGACCACAAATAATTGGCTTGTGTTACTGGTTAGCAGACATTTTTGCTCCTTAAAATAATAGTAATAAAAAATATTCATTGGACCCTAATTAAGCCCAGACAGACTCACTTTCAGCCTGTTCTCTACGTTGTGTAAATTACTGATAAGATCTGACCCCAGTGAAGTAGACCCTTATATACCCCCTGGCCCCCATACTTATTCTGCATGGAGGTTTCTCTGCTCTTCCCTACAAGGTTACTGTAATGCCGCTGTGCAGGTGGGCTCTCTGGGTCAGCCCTTGAAAAGAGAGACAGTTTGGTCAATCAGAGCAGAATGGCTTACTTGAGTATTAAAAGAAAATCCTAGTGAATGTGAGCGAGCTCGGTGCCGGTAATGACGCTGCTTGTTCAAACAGCCATTGATGATTGAGACCATTCAGAGCTGAAGTGGAAGCAGTGGTCCGCAGGCACGGGGGCCTCTGTAGGGGGCGGCCAGGGGCAGCTTTGTGTCACTCTCATTACTGTGTATTGTGTGCCCCCTCTAGCAGGACAGTATGAGGGTCAATCAGTGGCTCATGCTTTAGTGCCCAGTCAGGGTCTGAATATAAAAGGGAAATCTTTCTGTAATGTTTTCTCTGCAATATTTCTTGTCAGGCTTAGAGATTGTTATTAGTATTGCTGATACAATGGCAAAGTATTGAAGCAGAGATTTGATCAAAGGTACTGGATCATGGATGAAATTTTTATATTGGTTGTTGGCCATTGCCAATGTTTGGACACATCTACTCATAGAAGAGTTTTCCTTATTTGTAATGTTTTCACATTTTAGAATAATAGGGAAGACGTCAAAACTATGGGATCACATACACCATCAGAATAACACTGTTTAAACTCATGGGGCAAGATGTAAGTATGTGATGGCCCTATGTTTTCACAAGTTTATAGACACATGCACATTCAGTTTTTTTCTGAAATCAAAGGTATTAATAGAGAGTTTGTCCCGCTTTAGCTGCAGTAACGACCTCTACTCTTCCGGAGAGGCTTTACGCTAGATGTCAGAACATTGCTGTGAGGATTTGATTGCATTTATTGCATTTGATTACAAGAGCATTAGTGAGGTCAGATACTGATGTTGGATTACAAACATCACTCTAACTCATCCCAGATAAATTGGATAGAGCTTCACCACTGCAGAGAACTCAAAGCCCCACAGCTCAATGCTGGTGAGCTTTTTACCCTTGTAGCTGATGTTTGGCATCAGGCATGGTGATCTTAGCTCTTATGTGGCTGCTCCAGACCATCCCATGCTATTGGCCATGTTTTTCTAAGGAGATTATACATATTGTGCATGTGCAGTTGAACACCTGTGTTAGCAATGAATGCAGCTTAAAGTGGCTGAATTTACTAATTATAAGAAGTGTCTGAATACCTTTGGACATATAATGTGTATGGAATTATGCAGTGACCAAAGTGAATGTAGCAAAGCTATCTTATATTTCAGCCTCCCATCTGCCTTGATGCAGCTTAGCACACTCCATTTTCTCTCTGGCAGCTGCATGAAGAGCCACCTGGGATGCTTTTCCAACAGGCTTGAAAAAGCTCCACATATGCTGGGCACAATATAGACAGAATAGAAACAAATGTCAAGCATTTAAGCATAAGACTTGTGATCAAAATGCTTTGTAGACCTACAAAGGCCATAGATTCAGTCAAGTGTATCTAAACTTTTGACTAATACTGCAAGTTTAACTGTATTTGTCCCTTCTCATTAACATCTGATATATTTCCAACCTGATCTTCATAACCATATTTAATAAAATGTCTAAAAGGGGTGCATTCTGCTTCTTTGTTTAGGCATGCCTGCAGCATCCCTGGTGACCCCTGCTGATGTTATCAAGACCAGGTTACAAGTGGCAGCCCGTGCAGGCCAGACTACGTACAATGGACTCATTGACTGTTTCTGGAAGATCCTGCGGGAGGAGGGTCCTCGTGCTTTCTGGAAAGGAGCTGGAGGTACCTGCTGATGGACACCTGCACCTAATGATGCCAACCATGAAAATAATGCCTTACGATTCATAGTGCCTTTATAAATGACCTGATTGCATGTGATGGAGCTTTATCAGTGGTGAGGCTTCCTTGACCCCTTTATAAGGACCTTTTCTGACTTTTTGAGGGTGCTCTGAATAAGGCCAGGCTAAAAGTGGCCTGGCTGATTGAGGTGTGCCGTGGAGTGACCCTTTAATTAAAGGTAATTGATTTTTCTCTTCTCAGCGCGAGTGTTCCGCTCTTCGCCTCAGTTTGGTGTTACACTGGTGACCTACGAGCTGCTGCAGAGGTGGTTCTACATCGACTTCGGTGGACAGTAAGAGTCTCTCTCTCCTTTTCTTTCTCCCTCCTTCACCCCCCTGTTCTCTCTCACCTGAACACATGGCTTTATGATAGCCTCTTAATAGGCTGGTTCCAGACACCACAGGCTTTTAATCTGAGACAGAAAAAAGAGCAAATAGGCCAAAAGTAATAGGACACGTCGTATGGCCGCATAGAGAAATGAAATGTCAGGAAGGCTCAGGCTGATTGATAGCTCTTTAGAAAAGGCCAGCCTCACATAAAAGACTTTCATTTTCACAGGCGCTTCATTATGGCTTATAATGCTGGAAGAGGCTCGTTCCTAGAAGAGCGTGTTTCCTTTTTTAAAGCACAAGCTTTGACTGAAAGCTCTCTGTGGTGGCCATTTTTTCTCTGGACTGTAAAGGACTTTGACTGTACGATTTTAGCAGTGGTCAGCAGCGTCATTGAAGGGCTGTAGGTGACATTTTCTACCGGTCTTATGCAGGCATATGCCTCCATGCTTTCCATGGGCTTCAAGACAGAGATAAAAGTCTGTGTGTGTATGTATATATGCACGTGTAGGTGTCCCAATACTTTTGTACATACATATATATATATATATATATATATATATATATATATATGTATGTGTATGTGTATGTGTGTGTGTGTGTGTGTGTGTGTATGTATATATATATATATATATATATATATATATATATATATATATATATATATAAAATATCTATATATACACACACATATGTGTATATATTTTTTAAATCCACAGGCATTAACATGGTGTTGGCCCCCCCTTTGCAGCTACAACAGCTTCCAGTCTTTTGGGAAGCCTTCTACAAGATTTTGGAGTGTGTCTGTGGGAATTTTTGCCCATTAATCCTGAAGAGCATTTGTGAGGTCAGACACTGATGTTAGACGAGAAGGCCTGGCTCACAATCTCCATTCTAGTTCATCTCAAAGGTGTTTGATGGGGTTGAGGTCAGGGCTCTGTGCGGGCCAGTAAAGTTCTTCCACACCAAACTTACCCAATCATGCCTTTATGGACCTTGCTGTGGCACGATCATGCTGGAGCAGAAAAGGGCCTTCCCCAAACTGTTCCCACAAAGTTGGAAGCATACAATTTTCCAAAATGTCTTGGTCTGCTGAAGCATTAAGATTTCCCTTCACTGGAACTAAGGGGCCTACGCCAATCCCTGAAAAACTGCCCCATAGCATTATCCCTCCTCCACCAAACTTTACAGTTGGCACAGTGCAGTCAGGCAGGTAATGTTCTCCTGGCATTCGCCAAATCCAGACTCGTCCACTAGACTACCAGATGGAGAAGTGTGGTGGATTAGGTTAGGGAAGGCCCTTTTCTATTCCAAATGACTGAGCCCCAGTGCACAAACAAGGCCCATAAAGGCATGGTTGGGATGAGTTTTGTGTGGAAGAACTTGACTGGCCCACACAGACCCCTGACCTCAACCCCATCAAACACCTTTAGGATGAACTAGAATGAACTAGAACTGGAAGCTCTTATGGCTGCAAATGGGGGGACCAACTCCATATTAATGCTTATGGATATAGACTGGGATATGTCATAAAAGGTCCTGCAGGTGTAATGTGTAGGTGTCCCAATAATTTTTTTTTATATATATATTATATATAAATATATATTTATATTCTTTACAGTGTTTATGGATTATTTTCATATTACTGATTCACATGGTATAAATACATTATTTGTTAAGCACTTAATTAAATTTATGTTAATGAGTCACTTGGTTTCACGTATCTACTCTCAGTTCATTAAGACTAATATACTGCACGTAAATGACCTGTGTTGTGATTGGCTGCCTTGTATTGTGCCTCATTCTAAAAGCAGCTCAGTACTTAAAACACTACTTATAACCTCAGCATGAACAGGCAGAGCTAAACTACTGTAGAATAATCAGATATATGTAAATGTGCTGTTTTTTGTGGCATCACAAAAACAATGAACAGCTCTTTTATTTAAAAAATGAGAGAAATTCTATTTTCCATGATGTGTGAGGTGTGTTGTTAATTTACACATTTTTAGACTGTAGCATTGTGCTTACATCAAACAGCGCTTGACTTACAGATCATGACTTCATGCTTTGCCTCTGTATTCTGGGTTCCACGCTCTAGCTTTAGCTAAAATAGAACAGTGATGTGCTAAAATAGCCTCTGTGTGTGTTTGCATTGGAAACTTTTCAGAGAGGCGAGCATGAAACCATTGCAGTCTATTCTGTCTTGGGTTCCACTGGCTGAGGGGAAAATATTGCTCTTTCATGATTTTAATATTCGATTAAGCTTTTTTTTTCATGATGGGACACAGTAGAACATGAAATCTCTCCTCTACCTCTCTTCCTTCCTCCCTCACCCCTCCTCCTCTCTGCCTTGCCTCCTCTCCTCCTTCTCTCCATACCACAGCAAGCCATCTGGATCGGAGCCACCTCCTAAGTCTCGAATCAGCCTGCCGGCGCCCAACCCCGACCACATTGGTGGCTACAGGTTGGCCGTGGCCACGTTCGCTGGCATCGAGAGTAAATTTGGACTGCATCTACCCAGATTTCAAGTTACTGCCGCCCCCCCTTCGGACCACCCTTGAGGCTAATCTGCCCACCTGTGGGTGGCAGTACTGCGCATTAGGTTGTACTGAAACACATACACACACACACATAGAAACTCATGCTTGCTCTTCCTGCTCACTTCTTCAGAAGTCCCACAGACTTTGAACTTATTTTATGAGTGCAGTCTGAGTAATGGCTTTAAAATATGATGGAAAATTAGTTGATAATGAAGCTGAATATTTTTGAAATCTCTTAGGATTTCTTCCTAAGGTTCCAGTTATTCACTGGGGATTGTAGTGTGAACTGATTTTATATGTAAAATGTGATGTAATGCATTGCATTGTAGGATTTCAGCTGTTCAGCATATTTGTCTATCTCTAAATGTCATTAAGTGTGTAAGGTAGTGTTGCAGCTGAATATAACTGAATAAGGGTTGCTCAGTCAGTTTACTTAATTAATTAGTCCTCCTTCTTTGAATATATAATGACTGAGACAATTCAGAGGTCTATAAGTGACAGACGCATCAAATGATTAAGGAAAGTGTGATTGTTTCAGGATTGAAATAGCACAATCGTATCAGAATGCAGCTGTGCGAATAAAGAAATGTATTTTTTTGTATACAACTGTTCTCTTATGTTTCCATATATATTAAGTGTTCTGCTGCTTTAAAGCACTTGCTGTTCTTTTCCTGGACTAGACTTGCATTTCATTACATTTTGGGGCTATTCCTGTTTCTTTGAAAGCTGCCTTAACTCACCAGCTAATGAACAAATTGGTGTACTAGGACAGGAAGAAGCATGCAAACAGAGCAACTTCAAGAACAGGCTTGAGAAACACAGACTTAGTGAAATAAGCACTTATGACATTTTGTTCAAAGAAGCACTTGTAAGGAAGTCCGGCAGTGGAACTGCTGCAAAGGGTCAAACTTGAATGACAGACTTTTCGGGACTCAACTTCTACCTACTGTTAAAGTTCTACTTGGGATAAACAGTCTGTGTTCCACAAATGATCCTAAAGTGTTAATGTGTACACTAAATGAAGCAGACACGGTATGTGCAATGCTGTGCACAAGTCACAGACCACTCCTTATTTATTTAATCTCTAGGCCATTAATTACATGCTATTCAGTGTCAATAAAAAAAAGCAGAATACATTTAACAGAAATGTACACAGAAGCTTCAACAACTAAATATAACATTAAAACTGTCAGTATTTAGTGTGTCCACCTTTTGCCTTTATTACAGCCTCCGTTCTTTTCAGCAGACCTGCCTTCAGTTTTTCTAAGAAAAAAAGCAGGGACATTTTTTACACCTCTGAAGTTCAGTCTTAGAAGTCAGTTACATTATCTGCCTCTCAGTCCAGGTATTCATAATTACAAATTTAGAGTTTTTAGATGTCTAGATCTCAGATGTCCAGTTTTGTTGTTCTAGTGCAAATGTTCTTTTCTCAGTAACTGCTTCTTGACAGCTACACATTCTTTCAGGGTCACACTGAGGACGGACAGACAGAAACACCTATGGATTTTATCAGATGTGAAGCAAGAGTGGAGCTTGATGTTTTTTTCTAATGTCTCAAATATGAAAGCTTTAAATACTGTTTATCTGAGGGGAGCAGTTTTAGTGGTCTACCAGGTTTAGCATGGTTGTTTTCTCTATATTATAATGTTTTTGTTTTTTTTTATTTAATTTTAGAAAGTCCTGTTTTTTCCACTTATTTTGTCTTGACCTTCCCTTCCTTATACAAGTGGACTATCTTTAATATTCTTTAGATAGATACCATCTTTTATGCACATAATGTTTGTGTGAATGTTAGTGTTTCTTTGAGGGGTAACAATGTCAGTGAGAGACAAAAGAGCAGCTTTTGTTGAGTAACTTGTTGGTTTTAAGATTGGAAGGATGGAAGAGTCAAAGTGGCAGTAGAGTGCACTAAAGACTGAACAAAGCAAATAATGATAGATTTGATGTTCTACTTAGTGTTGGAAGCTTTTATGTAATTTTCTGTTAAATTTCTGTCATTGAAAAATAACTTCTAATTCATTACCATTTTGATTGGATATTAAATAAACAAATAGGTGGTCTCTGACTTCTGCACTGTACATCTTAAATCTCACTTGTGTCCTAGAATGGCTTCTGTAATGACATTTGTATTTCTTTTGTGTATAGGTTTCCTTTAATGGCACAAGCAACATATATATATATATATAATTTTTCACACAGAAGCAAAGAAATGTTAAAACTCCCATTTGTTTGATTTTTTTCTGCATAGCATAGTAGATTGTACTTATTGTATGTAATGTTTGTGCCTTACTGTAAGTATGGCAGCAATATGTGCACTACTAAGGCAGAGAACATGTTTATTAGAAGGAAATGAAAACAAACTGTTGCTTTCTATGGTTGGAAGCATATGTCATTTTATTAGTTGATGCATGAAATAGCATGTAACCACTGGGCACACTTCTCATACATAGCAACAGGATCTGAGCTTTCCATCAGCACGCTGTATAGATTAAATGTGAAATTAAACCCTTTCATTTGATAAGCACAATACACTTTTTAATTGACCGACAAAACATCTCTGACATACAAGATTTTGACATTAAACCTTTAGCAGTTATAAATACTATAGCTGACACAATCACATAATGCCTGTAAGACTCGCTCCATTACTGTGCTTCATGCAGGAGTTAAATACAAAAATATATATACACCGACCCACACACACACACACACACACACACACACAGCACAAACACAGCAAATATTAGCCTGTGCAAAGGATCCTGCCCTCTTTGGCCTTCATTACGAACCCTCATAGCAGCATATGAACTTTCTCACCTCACATTTATCATCCAAAGCTCAAACTAGGCCTTTTTCAGTGAAACAGATATAAATTGGACATGAATCCTAAAAATAAATAGCTAAAACAGTGATCTGTGATTGCTCACGTCAACTGAAACAACAATGCAAATTACAGTAGACTTTTGCACAACATAATTATAAAGCAAGGTGCTTCTGCTAACCCTAATCTATGCTCTATAATGAGTCTGTGAGGAACAAAACCAAAATGATCAGAGCCGTGTAGATGCACATTAGAGCTTCAAATATTCGTCTAAACCTTTGGGTTTGGGCACATTATTTTTCATGTTTCTCAGATTCATATTTCACATTTGAGTTTCTAATAACGTGTCTCCCACCTTTTAATGGGTTTAGTATATCTCCCTGTTTCGTTTTTCATCTTACTTACATAAACACTGTCATAGTGTTTGGTGGCTTTTGCCTTGAGGCCATTTCAAGACTTCCATTACCACTTTTCACAACAAGTCATCAAGCATGTTACACTGAGGAAATGAGTACACTTAAAGGTGTCTTTACTAGAAACCCTCATTGTAAACATATTTAAGAAATTAGGTTTTTGTATCATGCACACTAAATAAAAGAAATAAAATTCATAATTATGATGGCGGTAGAAAATGTGTTTAGTGCAATACAGTATGTGAAACACTGAATAAAACTCATTGTGTAAATAGCTTTTGATAGCATTTTTTAAATATAGCACTACAGTAGCTTTATCTGTTCCAACTTATCAAACCTCAAACAGTAAATATCATGATGCATATCGCTTATTGTGAAAAGTATCGTGATGTTAGATTTCTGCCATATCATTCACCCCTGTGTCCAGGCCTTGAGACTGAGATTTTAAAAGTCACTGACTTTTACAGGTTTTCCAGGAGCGTGGGAACTCTGGTTGGAGTGTCGAGTTTTATGCCGTCTCTTGGTGGTGGCTGTGTTGAGACTGGGACTAGAGAATTGGTTGAGCTATAATCTGACTCAGGTTCAAAACCTGGAGGTGTGGCTGTGGGTCAGTTTGGACTGGGGTTACATTTGGGTTCCCATCAAAATTTCAGGCTCAATCAAAGCTCTAATATGCATGCTGATCGGTATCTAGGTGAGTCAAGCTGGGCTGAATGTGGCTTCAGGACAGTGTTGGTCAGATGCTCTGAGACTGTGACTCTATGAGGCCAGCTCCACTGGCCCCTCCTCCTCACCGTCAGCCCGGTTGGCGCGGATCTCCACCAGCGTGCGGGCGAAGCGTGCCCAGTCCTCGCTGTGCGTCGCTGCCAGCTGCGGAGTGAAGAGAGAACGTCAGTACACCCATACCAAATCTCTCCAACCACGTAAGGAAGACCTAAATGACTCATCAGAATGACTTGTGATATTACACTGCAGGAAAAAAACAGTATGCATTGTAAGTGTGGAAAAGAACAGTAAGGGCTGTTGTTTGGCCTTTGGATGCTGAATATTTATGGTGAGAGGAGACAGCGGGATCATGAGGCAGACTGCGAGATTGTGCCGTCACGTTCTCCCGCAAAAAGTCACATGAGAAGGAGCTGGGCTGCCTGCCACCCATGCCGAGCGAGAGAGAGAGAGAGAGAGAGAGAGAGAGAGTGTGAGACTGCAGGCTGTAATTAAGCAGGAATAGAGAGGTGGAAAGAGATGACAGCTATGTCTAAACCAAAGACCAAATCAAGCCCTTTTATAGCGCTGCAGGAGGTCTTCAGAGAAAATCATTAGGACGTGACCCCTGCACGCGTAGCAGAGAAACAGCACTGTGCTCAAGGTAATGCAGGATAGATGCTCATAAACCCAGTACAAAAAAGCTGCAGTTAAAGTGTCCGAGTGCATGAAAAATGCATGTATGAGTAAAATGTCTAGGGCTGTCCCTTTTAGATCAACTGGCAAACCTTTTGTAGTTTTTTCTTAGCCAGTGTTGTCAACTGACAGCATTTACATGTATTTCTTTATTTTTGCATTCATTTATTAATTGACCTGTCCAGGGTTTCCTGCCTTCTGCCCAGTGACTGCTGGGACAGGCTCCAGCACCCCACCATGACCCAGGAGGAAAAGCGGCTTAGATAATGTGTGCGCGCATGTGTGCGTGTGTATTTATTTATTGACTGTTAAAAGTGAACAACACTTAGAATAGTATATGCTACAAATTGAAGTTTGGACCATGTGTGGATGCAACGCAGAAAAAAGTTGTTGAAAATTGTCAAAAAAAAAAACAAAAAAAAACAAAAAACTGAAGAGTTTCAAGAAAGTGGCGTGTAAACTAGGCCTGGCCAATCGGGCAATGTAACTGGATAATCACTGCGTTGGCAAAGAAAGTTGATAAAGAACTAGAGAGGACTAATTGAATTTTAAATTTAGCTTGCTTAATGATATTACATTATATGTACATGTAATGTTTTATTGCCTTTTACAGTTAAAACAATGAATTGTTACAGAGCATTAATAAGACATTAGTCTAGGGTAAACTGTGCTGCGAGTCTCAACAGATAAATACATTTTAAACAAGAAAATATTTTGGTAGTTGTTTTAGGTCTTTTGTAAGCTCAGCAAAAGTCTTACAGTTCAACTTCAAATATGATGTACTATTTTAAAAAAATGTGTGTGTGATATTTCATGCTTAAAGGTATAATTACAACAATGTTCCTAATAACATAAACTAGTGTTCAAAAATGTTCAGTCACTTTTATTATTACTATTACTATTAATAATTGTTTTATTTAGTAATAGCTTATACAGTTTACCCTTCTTATATACACTTATACAGTGGGACATCAAAATGTTATTAAATGACAAATAATATACTGGAATTATCTATTTATTGATAATTTATCTGCCTGAGATTTGATCACCATGTTTCATATACAAGGCATTCTGGGTGTTAATTTTGATGTTTAAAGTGTAAACGTTGTTAATTAAATTCTTACTGTTTTACAGCTTCCTCAGTTATCATAAAATCCTTTACAGTTCATCATTCTGGACAAATCTAAAATGTCTTAATTTTCACAGCTTCCTACAAAATACTAGAGTAGTTGTCGAGTAGAAGCTGCAATTTTCTTTTTAATTGAAGACAGTGATCCCAAATCTTAAACTGATTCCAAACTTTTGAACACTAGTTTACATACCAAAAAGAAAGCTTTCATTAAAGCTGCAAATTTCACTTTTGTCAAAAAATGATTTTAAATTTACAGTCGCATGCAAAAGTTTGGGTACCCCGATCAAATTGCGTTTTACTGATTTTCTAAGTGAAAATAAGTACACATCCTCTACAGAGAACATGCTTCTGACATTGTAATGTACAATTACTGTTTGTTTGCTTAATTGAAAAAAATGAAACATAAAATGAGTCCTGTGCAAAAGTTATGGCACATTTTTTTTCTAGTATGTTAAACTCAGCTAATAAACAGAAATTATAAACACTAAAATTAGCAGAAAAATGTCATTTATAAGTGTGCTTAATAACGTAGATCAAAGTAAGTGAGCTATGTGCACTATTACTCATTTATATTATGAAAATGTTTGACAGGGATTCAAAGCAAATATTTAGTACACACAGGCCTAAATATGGCGCATAAAGACCTTCCTGATTGTCAGAAGTGGTATCCTGAAAGTGCACAAGAGTCCCTGACATTCTCTCCTCTGACAACGTGGGCCATGTTGTGGACTTTTTTTCTGCCTTTATGGGAAGCTTCTGGTAAATAAGCCCCCACTCTGTTCCAACATAAAACCCTTCAGCCTCACTCACTTTATTGATGACCCACCATTATCATCAAGCCAGAGAGACCACACGCCCAACCAGCACACTCTCCAATTACCACACTATGCAGGGCTAAAATTAGCCTTGCCACACACACAAGGCAAAAACCAGATTCTGAAAAGAACGCGGCGAGCAGAGGAGTCGTGGCGGCTCGCTGCTCTGTGCCGGTGGTTAGGCCATGTGGAGGCTGTTTTAAAATAGGGGATGAAGAGAAGTACCAAAACCCAAACAAGCCCGGCCAGGCCGAGAGGTTAGTAAACATGCAAGGCCTTTAATGGAAGGGCCTGCCATGCATGGAGCACAGAAAGATGCTTTAATGCACTGCCAGCAGCTCCTCTGCCCACTGTTGCCTCAGATGTACAGTGGAACGTGCAGCCTGAAAGCTAATAGTTTCACTCAAGCTGATCTGTGGTAAGCCATGTTAGAATGCGAGCACATTTGCTGTATGTGTGTTTTGAACAGTAACACTTGGCAAATAAACATCAACCTTTTTTTTTTTACTTTTAAGCGCATGCCTGAAGTTACTAGAAATCACCAGACACAAGGCCTCATTTCCACCAACCTTCAGACTGTTTCAGATAAGTGACAAGCAAATTATCAAAGCAGGAAAATTTTCTTGTTATTGTAAATACAAATTTTTGACAGTTTCACATTGGAATGCATTAGAACATTAGAACTCTTGTTCAGGGACTCTTATTGATATAGGAGTGGCATTCCTGCCTAGATAACCCTTGTGTGGTGTTCATGTTTTTGTTACTCAGTGCTCTGGTGGACCCACCGCATTATTGTTTTTTAAATAAATACAGCCGTAACAATTTATGTAAAAATACTAGATGTTTAAAATATCACAACTGGCCAGTGTAGGGTTCTCCTTTAGCAGCTGTAGCCAGTCAGCAGTTTGTCCATGTTGTCCACCCTCACACACACACACACACACACACACACTCACAGCAGGCCATGTAGGAGGAGAACAGAGTGAAGGGACACAGCAGCTCCACACTTTTATTCCCCGTGGGTTCACCCCAACATGTGTAATATAAATGTGTAGGGGGGTGTACAGTGTGAAGTCATTGAAAATGTGTTATTTTATATGTTCCTCACAGAAAATGAGCGAAGGCCAAGGAATCTGGGGTTGAAATAATAATAAATTACATCACTTTTTTTTGGTAAACATTGAAAATGGGTCCCACAGACCTGAACACCAGACAAGCGTTAATCAAAACTACAAGATTTTTTATGTGGGGTTTGTGGTGTTATCCACTATGCAGCTCATTAGAGCTTGGTAATAAGAAAGGAACAGATCAGCACTAGTGACTTTACATGTGTCAGTGTGCATGAGAGCCAAAAAATAGGGTGCTGAATTATTGTGAACGAGTTAACACAGTTTTTTGAGTCCTAACTGCAGCATACCTCTCCAACATCATAGATCCACAAACGGCCCTCTGAGTCTCCTACAGCCACCTCTTTTCCTCCAGAGGCCCAGCGAACCCTGTTCAGCGCAGGAGCTCCCTCAATGGTCACGCTGGCTGTGGGGACCTGTACACACAACACAGCACAAGCACTGATTCACAGACACACAGTTTGCAACTGCAAAACAGGTTAACACTTTATTCTGTATACCTGTTAGCTAAATGCACTCTAACAGCTGGCTTTGTATGAGGTTTCCAAATATGTGTAGAGCTTCCACAGAGAAATGGATTTTGTTCATTAAAGCAATAAGTCCGAACAGGCACCATGATAACTTGATGGATTCATACTAGTGATGGCATAACGCCACTGTTTTCTTTCCAGTCAAAACAGCCTCTAGGTTAAGTATTTTCTTAGATGTTTCTGGGGAGATTAGATATAAAATCTATTTGCACAAGCAAGAGGAAAGTCAGATTAAGTAAGTAAGAAACAGGAGTTTCCAAAACCAACATTCAAAAAATGTATTAAAAGATATAAAGAAAATGGGATTATTGAATAACCATGCAAGACCTGGAAGACCATCAAAACTTTGCTTCAGATCTGAACAAATCTACAGGTGTTTCTGTCCATCCTTCCACTGTGAGAAGATAAATTCAACACTATGAGTCTGAAAGGATGTGTAGCTGTCAAGAAGCCATTACTGAGAAATGGAAATACACAAAAAATCAAACATAGAAGCTGCAGATGTTCTCAGAACAATGGACTGACCACCCCAGAGTCCAGACCTCAACATCACTGAATGTGTTTGGGATTACGTTTTGGGATTGTGAGAAGCAGAAAATGAAACTAACTTCTACGACTGAACTTTGAAGAAATGTGGAAATGTGAGGTTCTTTAAAAACTGAAAGCAATTCCCCTGAAAAGAATGGAAACTGTAATAAAGACAAAGAGACGACACACTAAATATTGAAAAATATTATATTTAGTTGCTGAGGCTTCTGTGTAATTTTCTGTTAAATATATGTTTCCTGCTCTTTTCCATGTAATTAATGGCCTAGATTAAATAAATCAAGGAGTGGTGTCTGAATTTGGCACTGTGCTGTACATAGTGTGTCTGCTTCGTTTAGTATGATTGTAAGTAAGGGCCGTTTTGACTGGAAATTAAATAAATGAACAGTGGTCTCTGAATTTTGCTCAGTACTGTACCTTAATGAATGTTTACTAGGTGAAAGTGTCAGCTCTTTATGCAGCTGAACACTGAGAGGGATCAGATATCACACAAACCCAGCACCTGCATGATCCAGCTCTGTTCCTGCATACACTGCTCCATATGAAAATACAGTCAACACTTTTAATGAGTCCATTAATCATCACAGAAAGCTGCAGAACATACATTAAAACAATATACTTCAAACCAGCGTTACAGAGAGGAAAACGACAGGGAGATTAAGGCAGATGATCAAAAGAGAAAGCGAAAGGAGAAACAGACAGAGAGAGAAAGACAGACAGCGAGAGAGAGAGAGGGACTGCAGTCTATTACTTGTGACAGCTGAGACGAGTTCGACACATGTCGTGAGGGAATATGGAAGCTTCGGCAGTGTGCTCCGGCTAATACAAAAGCTTCCACGCTTTGAAAGGAGCTAACCACAGACTGAGCACTATTAGCGAGCAGCTTCCTCCAAAAGTCAACTGCAAGGTTAAACTGGCTGCGTGTTTCTCGTTGCCTAAATTAGAACCAGGCATTTCTACAGACTGTTAATGGCATTATGGGTGAATTTCTTTATAAGCCGACGATAAAGAATTGTTGGCGGTTAGAGAGCAGTGGGTGTGTGTGTGTCTGAGTGTGTGTGTCTGTGCCTGCGTGCATATGGGTGTGATTTTTATTTCTGAAAATTAATGTGATTTGGTGTGTTTGATTTTTTTATATTTACCAGAGCTGCAAGTATGAAAATCATAAAAACAAAACAGCTAAAGATGGTCATGAAACAGAAGCACTTTGGTGATAAACAGTACAAGTATAGTGAAAATGTTTTAGGCACATTTTAGGCAACTACAATTTTAATGGCTGTTTATCTGGACAGTAAGTATTTATTTGCTTACAAAAGTGCTGATATTAAAACATACAAATAACATTAATACAGTAGTGATTTTACATACGTCAGTGAATTCTTTCAACCATTTCAAACCTCTCCTTGAGAACGCTCAGTGTTATTTGTGTTTATCATCCTACACCTGGTTTGGCTAGTCAGTACTTCGTTATGTTAAATCAGGCAATGGATTTTAACATATCCATGTGATAGCTGTGGACATCGAGAAGAAATCTGAAACTAAACTCTGTTCTTCAAAGTCGCTCACAAAATTCCAGCTACATTTTTTCAAAATAAGAAATCCTTGTTACATTTCTTTGCATCTGTTCTAATGATATATGGTGTTACAGTGGTTTTATCATCAAAAACACATTTACCTCTGAAGTTAATGGTTTTAATCAATTTGCTTAGGCACCTTAGTCTTTTATACAGCACTGTATATGTGTGTTTATCTGCACACATCTTTTTTTCTTTGCACTAGGCAAAGTAAGGCAGCCGCCTAGGGCCCCCATGAGCCAAGGGCCCCATGAAAATACAAATTAGATATACTCTATATGTTGATATTAAACAAACTATTCCAAAAAATAAATACACATTTTAAAAATAGACATTTGCTAATTTGCTATTATTTTTTTTTGTAGATGATTGTTAGTAATTGCAATGCAGCCCAACCCCTGTACTTCTGTGTAGTTTTGAAAGGAAAAATCAAATAACGTGATCCAAGTATAGCAGTGAAATTCAAAAAGATATACTCCCATCTGCCAAAACTAACTTCATTTCTTCCAATAAGAACAGAGTGCTGCACCAGCTCAGTAGTACATAATGATAGTGTTAATGATAGCTCCAGTGTTGAGCTAAGTACTCAAAAAAAATCACACAATAAAAGTTACTAATTACTTCTCTCTAAATGTAGAATTATGATACTTCTTACTGCCTGGAAAAAGTAACATTATTACTCATTATTATTTTTGCATCACTCTGTACCAAATGATCTCCATTTATTGGCAGATAACTTTGCTTCCTTTCACACAATATTTCTTAAAACAAAAACAATTATCTGCAAAAAGAGTGTATAATTTCACTTACTAAAATTAGAAAAATGTCTAGAAATAATTTAAATCATATAATATGCTTATAGCAATCTCAAAAATGAGAAATATTAGATATGGCTAAAATGAAGATGATTTCTTATGCCAAGAGCATTTTTTGCAGTGTATACAGTTTGCATCACGCACGAGCCCAGAGCCTCAACTAATTTAAAAAAGTGCATCCAGGGGGTCCTATTCCTGTCTTTTAGCCTAGAGCCCCCCAGTCAGTAAATCCACCCCTGTTAATCTGTTACATAAAAGCTTATCCTAAACATAAGCAAATCCGCACACAGCTATTATACAACTTTTACTACAAGCTTCAAAAATCTGAAGTGCATCTTCGTCTGCAAACCTAATAATTAGTCTTAAAGTCTTAAAGCTACACACATGCTCAGAAAAGTGAGGTAAAGCTGGAACAGCAGATCTTCGTTGCTTGTCTTCCCTGAACGCCGCGTGATTCTGGCTCTTATAAATGTTTTGAAACCCAAGTTTGAAAACTTGCCTTACTGGAGTCAGTTTAGAACTCAGCCAAGTGAAACGTGAATGTGTGTCCCTGTTATTAAGCTCATGTCTAAATCACTGTGGAAATAATGAAATATCTTACACTACTAGTCAAAAGTTTAAACACCCTTACTCATAAAAGGGTTTTCCTTATTTTAGCTTACTATTATACTCATTTTAGAATTAAAGTGAAAACATCACACTATAAAATAAATATATTTACAGAGTGACAACAAAAAAATAAAAAAATACAAATTATCTTATATTTTAGGTTCTTAAAAGTATCTTGTTTTTCCCTTGGCGTGAAAGTCACACACTCTTGGAATTCTCTCAAGCAGTTTTATGAGGAGCTGCCTGGAACGCTTTTCCAACAGGCTTGAAAATATTCCACATATGCAGAGACTTTGATAGCTGTTGAAAACTTTTTTGGGGGCATTTTACAAAGAAAAGAATATTTTCAAATTTTGGATATAACTGCATACATAAGCATGGCCTGCACTGTTTATTTTTATTTGTAAGCACCAGTCTGTCAATCACAATGTCTGTTTGGTTATGAAAAGTGTACATTCATTCAGGTGTCTAAACTTGCATGACTGCGCATATATTCATAAAATGTTTAATTCTGTTTTGTATTAACTTGTTTTCATATGACCAATTTCTTAAATTCCATATTTTGGTGGATATATTGTGTTGACATTTTTCAAAATTATACACATGGATAATAGGTAAAAGACAATATTATATTTTGTGTTTATGTTTGTCAATATATACAGTACTGTGTGAAAGTCACCCTTCATTTATTTAATTTCTAGTCATAAAAGACATTAAGGACAAATTATTCCTTTTTAAGGCGACGTTTCTAAGGAGATTAGATGTAAGATAATCCATTCGCATAAGGAAGGAGAAACTCAAAGGACAATTAGAAAAAAAATGGAATTTCTAAAACTGGAGTTCAAAAAAATTATTAAAACATATAGAGAAAATTGGACTCCTAACAACCATGCAAGGCCTGATAAACCACCAAAACTGTCACCATCAGATAAAAAGTACTTAAAGTGTTAATCTTTGAGAGAGAGGAGAAAATCAAGCTCCACTCTTGCATCAGGTCTGAAAAATCCACAGGTGTTTCTGTCCATCCTTCCACTGTAAAAAGACAACTCAACACCATGAGTCGGAAAGGAGGTCTAGCTGTCAAGAAGCCCTTACTGAGAAAAGTAAACAGACAAAAAAGAAGAAATTTGTAAATTTGTAAACAAAAGAAGTTATGCTATTCTCAGATCTCAAGGACTGATGGAATGTTCTGTTAAATATGTGTGTTTTTTACACCTGACACTGAAAAAGGTATAGCTTGTACTTAAAGTCCATTTTGAACGGATATTAAATAAATGAAAGGTGTGTCTGACTTTGCACTGTACTGTAGCTTGTATATTATTGCAACATTAGTAAAAATAGATAAACACATATATTTCTGATCTGGAGTAACAACAACATACAGTTTAGTGCTTTCTTTGCTCTCACACACCTGACTGAACTAATCTTGTAATTAACAAGCTCTTCATGCTTTCAGTCATGTGTGGTAGAGCAGGAAAAAACACTAAGCAGGGAATCGAGCAGTGCTGTCTCGTATGACTGCAGTGATGGCTCTCAGTGGCTGGATATATTTTCGAGCAGTTGTTGGAGGTCCTGAAGCATGGTGACCCCAGAGGACCAGATTAAACCACTGAGCTGGGCTGTGGCCCATGGGAACTTAATGACTCTGGAGCACTGGGGAGAGAGGAATCCACACATCGGAGTGATTAAACTGCTCAACGTGTGTGTGTGTGTGTGTGTGTGTATGTGTGTGCGTGTGTGTGTATGTGTGTGTGTGTGTGTGTGTGTGTGTGTGTATGTGTGTGCGTGTGTGTGTGTGTGTGTGTGTGTGTGTGTGTGTGTGTGTGTGTGTGTGTGGAGAGAAACGTTAGAGGAGAGTTTGGTGGGAGCTGTCAGAGAGCTGATTTAAGGGCAGCCTGTGGGGAAACGCCCACACAGAGAGGAGCTTGTTGTTGTTTTGATGCAGCTTTGGCGTAGCATGCCTCTGTGTGTTTGTGTGCAGGCATGTGTTTGTGTGTGTATGAGTATGTTAGGGCTCCACAATATATCATTTAGTAATCGTTACAATGATACTAGCCTTTGTTATAGCGATACTGCAGAAGGCAGCAATATGCAAATAGGAACTCTAAAAAACATCATTGCGTGCAATTGTGATAAATCACTGACACGTCTGATGTACATTTCTGGGGGTATTTGGATGAATTCAGGCATTTAAATTATCCTTAAATGATTACTTAATATTTTTAATATACTGGGATATGGCATTGGAGTAACACAGTACAAAGTGACGTGCTGCAGTAATGCAATTACTTTTTCCTGTAATGACGTAGTATCACGCTTTCTTGTAATTCTTGTAATTACAATACAGTTACGGACAATCAGCATTTCGTTAATTGCATTATTCACATGTTTCTAACACAGCAATATTAATTATGCATTTAAATGCATTTAAAGCATACATTCCTCTATATAGATTTATTGTGACCTTGTGATACATAATTTGCGCGTGCATGCACTGCCTGTGACAGCTGACTGTGTGACTTTGCAAATGTGACAGAGCAGTGTGAGGAGGGAAGTGCCATAAACTCAAGCAATTTGTGGAAGCATCTAATCATGCTTATATAATACTAAAGGACAAATATCCCCATGCTGAAAAACAGAGAACCCCAAACTGACCTACACAGGCCTGATTCTATTTTCATTCATTCAGCTCTGTGAGCTTTACATTTTACTCATAAAGACCTATTTCTGGACTGCTTCTTGTGGCTAGTTTCTCAGTTTTCAAACAGGTTATTCATAATTTCAACTAAGCATAACTGTCTTTTTCAGAGTCAAGTCTGGGACAGTACTTTTTAAAAAGTACTGAAAGGACTACAGGATTTTCCCATGTACTTTCCAGTACAGTTTTGTGTTCCTTTTGAAAAATTAAGTAACGGCTAGTGAGATTACTTGTTCCATGAAGTAATGAGTAAAGTAATCCCATTACAGTTTAAGAAATTAATTAGGAATTTGTAATGGATTACTTTTTTGATGTAACTGCCCCAACACTGCTGTCATATCCTAATACTGCAATCACAATCTATCAGTATAGTCATAATGTTCATATCATGCAGCCCTAGGGTCTGTGTGTGCGTGTGTAGGTGAGTGTATGCATGTGTGTGCATGTAGTTGGAGGATGTCAGTGTGGCCTAGAGTTTGGCTGGGAGAGCCAGGGGGGTTGTGGAGTGTGTGTGCAGGATGTGTGGACTCACCTCAGTATCATTGCTGAGGTTCCACAGGTCCAGACGGCCCATCCCGTCCACCGCAGCAAAAAGCGCAGGGTGCACCGGAGACCACATGACATCATACACATAATCAGCATTGTCCTCAAAGGAGTACAGCGGCTTATTGTGCTGAGGAGAGAGAAAGAGAGAGAGAGAACAAGACAGCATAAGAAAAAAGAGATAAGGTGGTTCAGGAGAGAGAGAGAGAGAGAGAGAGAGAGAGAGAGAGAGAGAGAGAGAGAAAAGCATCAAAGACTGAGGGGAAAAAAAGAAAAAAGACAAGGTGGTTTCAGGAGAACAAGACAGAAAGAAAGACAGAAAGACAGAGAGACAGAAACCGAGAGAGAGACAGGGAGGAAAAGAGAGTAGACTGAGTGGCGCTGCTGCAGCCTTGGGGCCTGTCTGGGAACAAGCTAATTAAAACCTCTGCACACTCACACAGTGTCATAAAAAACATGAGATGAAAGTCTCTCCGAAGGTGTACTGTAACCTTAGTGTAACAGCTGTCTGGGGTAGAGTCGAAAAGAGAGCAGAGGGAAAAACAGAAAGAGAGAGAGAGAGACAGAGAGAGAGAGAGAGAGAGAGAGAGAGAAAGAGCGAGAGGGAAACAGAAAAAGAGAGAGAATTCCTGAGGATGGCCGTGTGCATTCCGGACAGGTAGAGGGGAGACAGGGAGACAGCTGGGTAAGAGGAATGCAGCCCCTGTCTCTCAGCTCCTATACCACACCACACTAATGAAGCACTGAGAGAGAAATGTATGCAAACATGCGTTCTCATGTATTCAGCCTAAACAAGAATATCAACACTGTCTTAAGAAAACCTCATATCTCCAGGGTTGGAAAGAAAAAAGTTCTTAAGTTTAATATATATTCATAAGCAAATGTCTGGGCACCTCTCGTCAAATTGCATGTTAGGCTGATATAGGCTGAGTGAAAATACACTAACACACTCTACAGGGAACGCACTTCTGCACACTTTAATAGACAATTACTGTTCAGTTAAACTCAGCAAAAAAACAGAAATTAAACACTACTGAAAAATGACACATTTACATGTTCTCTGTAGAGCAGGGGTGTCAAATTTTATCCACAAAGGGCCGGTGTGGCTGCAGGTTTTCACTCCAACAAAGCAGGAGGTCACCAGATGAAATGTTTGAAGACTAAGACCAACTGATTAAACAACTGGAGTCAGGTGTGCTTCAGCTTGTTTGGAGTGAAAACCTGCAGCCACGGCGGCCCTTTGCAGATAAGATAGGACACCCCTGCTGTAGAGGATGTGTTAACTTATTTTCATTTAGAAAATCAACCAAACATCCAATTTGATTGGAGTTATTAAAATTGTTGCATAAACTTTACATTAATTAGTGGTTCATGATCACAATCAGCAACCAACATTAGAATTAACTGGTTTTCGCTTATTTTTTGATAATTTTTTATTTTGAAATCTGTGCTACTAAAGAGTGTTAGCCAGGTGATGCACTCACACTGCTCAGCTACACTGCTACACACACCAAAATGTCATTATGCATTTATAATTATTATCAACTTTGGGTAATGATAAGTATTGTTACTACTGTGTTTCATGTAACACACTTAACACACACAGTGTGAGCTTTGGGTATCTAGAAAGGCTAATAAAATGAGCTATTGGTCAATATGGGTCTAATGAAATTGGAAATGGCCATAAAAATGAACACCTCTAACATTAACGCACCAATATTTTATTTTAGGTTATTTTGATTTTTTTTATTCATCCGTCCATCATGAAATGTTCATACAATGTAAAGGACAACTGATGTCTTTAAATTGTGAATGGAGTTGCATGATTTTGATATGACACATGGATCAGTACAAACAGATGTATGCTTTTTTTTTACTTAGAAGATCAACAAAACATATCATTTGCCCAGGGGTGTCCAAACATCTGCATACAACTGTAAGTAGCCTAGGCAAGGAGCATTGGATGGAGCCATATTTTTGCACTTAACAAGTTATGCAAGGTCCTAAACTCTCCTAGGAATTCTATGTCATCATAATCATGAGTCGGCAGACACTGCCCAGCCCTAAACTGAGCCGAATCCATTTTCAACAGTTACCAAAATGAATGATGGTTAGGTTAACAATACCTGCTCAGCACTGCTGCATTCCACAACCAGAATGAGCAAACCAGGACAATCTCCTTCAACCAGCAGGAGCAGTCAGCATCAGCAGATCTAATCCACAACGCCACAGCCAAATCCTGCAGGCGCCAGCGCTGATACGGCCTCGCCCTTCCACAGCACTGCAGATCAGCCTCCAGTCTTTTAACTCCCCTAACTGAGCACCACATATATACATATACACAAATAGCCTGGATCATATGGATAAACATATCAAAGTAGCAATGCTGATCTAAGGTGGTTTTTCGCTTTTCATAATCTTATGAATATAATTACAAGGTCTGGAGGAACTGATCCTAGATCTACTCAGAGGAACTTTTCATGGAAGTATCTTGGACCTAGCCAGCAAAGGATGTCTTTTTATACTCCCTCTGTTTTTTCTTTCACAATGACCTGCAGAAACTTATAACTGTGTCTTTTGTTGACTTTCTAGTACCTTCCACATCCTATTCTGTGTCAGAGTTTCAGGATGTAGAGGCCCTACTTGTACTAGCCTTCAAGTTTCCAGTGCTCAGCTCTGGAAGAGGAATGCTCCACAGACAGAATAATCATTACTAACTGCTGCGCCACAGCCACAGTGGGACATCGGTTCAAATCAGGCCACTGCCAGGGTTTTCCAATCACAGAATGGAGGAGGCTGGTGAGGGCTGCCATTTTTCCCCTTTCTCCTTTATAGGGCACTAATAAAGGGCACTAATGCCAACGGAGAGGACTCCATTCATTTTACTTTGGTTATCCACCAACCAGACAGAGGGAGGAAAAGACCATAAAGCTAATCACTTAAGGATAATGCTTTTGGATAATGGAAGAACCTGGCAGAAACTGACCCAAATTTATGCATAAAGCTGAATGCTTCCTGGTCATCAGTCTGTCTCCAGATGACTTTTTCATGTACAACCCTATTTCCAAAAAAGTTGGGACGCTGTGAAGAATGTAAATAAAAATAGAATGCAATGATAAAGACAACATATCAAATGTTGAAACTGAGAAATTTTATTGTTTTTTGAAAAATAAATGCCCATTTTGAATTTGATGCCAACAACACATTTCAAAAAAGTTGGGACAGGGGCATCTTTACCACAGTGTTTCATCACCTCTTCTTTTAACAACACTCTGTAAGCATTTGGGAACTGAGGAGACCGACTGCTGTAGTTTTAAAAGTGAAATGTTTTTCTATTCTTGTTTGATATAGGATTTCAGCTGCTCAACAGTTCTGGGTCTCCTGTGTCGTATTTTTCGTTTCATAATGCACCAAATGTTTTCAGTGGTGACAGGTCTGGACTGCAGACAGGCCAGTTTAGAGTTTAGACTCTTTTAATACAGAGCCATGCTGTTGTAATACATGCAGAATGTGGTTTGGCACTGTCTTGCTGAAATAATCAAGGCCTTCCATGAAAAAGACGTTGTCTGGATGGCGGCATATGTTGCCAAAACATGTATGTATCATTCAGCATTAATGGTGCCATTCAAAGATGTACGTCACACATGCCATGTGCACTTTAGCCCAGAAGACACAGCATCCATGATTTCCAAAAAGAATTTCAAATTTTAATTTGTCAGACCACACTGTTCCACGTCATCTAAGTCCATTTTAAATGAGCCCGGGCCCAGAGAAGGCAGCGGTGTTTCTGGATCCTGTTTATATGTGGTTTCTTCTTTGTGTTTAAGAGTTTTAACTAGCATTTGTGGATGCAGCGACACGCTGTTTTCATAGACAGTAGTTTTCAGAAGTGTTCTTGAGCCCATGCAGTGATTTCCACCACAGAATCATGTCTGTTTTTAATGCAGTGCTGCCTGAGGGCCCGAAGATCACAGCCAGCAAATACTGTTTTTTGGCCTTGTCCCTTGCATACAGAGATTTCTCCAGATTCTCTGAATCTTTTAATGTTATTATGTACCGTAGATGATTAAAAGCAAAAGTTCTTTGCTATTTTACATTGAGAAACATTCTTTTTGAATTGTTGCACTAATTGTTATACTAGTCCCAACTTTTTGAAATGTGTAGTTGGCATCAAATTCAAAATGCGCATATATTTTTTTAAAAAACAAAGTTTCTCAGTTTCAACATTTGATATGTTGTCTTTTCACTATTTTCAATTAAATACAGAGTTTAAATGATTTGCACATCATACACAGCGTCCCAACTTGTTTGGAAACAGGGTTGTACTTGAAGCTATACTATTTGCACATCAGTGCAAGTGTGAAATGCAAGGTTTCTAATGTAATGAGTGTGCAGACAGATGTAGTGGGTACAGGCTGCCCTCACTGGCGGCCTTAGGTAAACAAACACTGGCTAACCAACACAAGGTGTGCCCAGAGCGGCACAGGAACAAGGGAGAGGCAAGCATTCCTGCGGCTCTCCTCACAGGCAAAGGGAACCCCCCCCCGCACCGCCACCACCATCTCTGACCATGTCCCTTGACAAAACAACATCCATGTATCCACAGAACTTCAAGAATGTTTTTTATGTGTTAAAATGCACAAGGTACAGTATATGTTATAGGGTTCTACAACAGGCCGTTTTTTTATTGAGGTTCATTTCTAATCTTCGCGTGGTTTTATGTAGCAAAAATAGCCATGTTTTATTTTTATATGACCCCTTCTTCCTTTGGTTTATCCCTTTGAATTAAACAGGCTAGGAAGAGCGCAACTTTAATCGTCTTTGCACACATCTTTCACTCCAGTAACTGCGCTACAAATCATCTGCAGTAAAAACACTCTATCACTTCAACGTATCACCTAGCGGATGCAGGCTAAGGGGGCATTCCTATGAAAATATGTTCATGGCAGTGACATCACAAACGTGAGGAAATCAGACCTAGTGGTCTTATATGGACTGTATGAAATGAGGATTGAACTGTTGAACTGTTTTGAAATTTATATAACAACAACAACAACAATACTAATACTACTATTACTACTTCTACTACTACTACTACTACTAATAATAATAATAATAATAATAATACAATTGGATTTATAAGTTCCTCTCAAGGTACCCAAGGACACCGTAAAAGAAATGCATAAAAATGCATAAAAAACATCAGCACAGCTACACTTAAAAATGACAAAACATTAAAGTGCACTAATATTAAAAATGTAATAAAACAGTATAAATTGTAACACGAGACAATTTAAAATATAACAAAAAGAAAAGAAACACTAATATCAATGAACAATTTTTACATATTACAAAAGCTCTTTTACTTAAAAATAAAAAGAAAAATGTAATATTCTGTGATATGGGCCCTTTAAGACTTTTAATTCTGGTTTTAAATATTTCAGCACTGTTTGGTTGATCAGTCTTCTGCCATAGTAATGTGATTCTACTTCTCTGGTTGTTGTCCTCTTTTCCATCGTTTACTTTTTCACTGTTGACCACATTACTTAATATGTTTCTTTAAGCTTTCTCTCACTTCTCTATTTCACTCCCTCTTTGCTCACATTTATCTTTACCATTTTTCTACTTTCCTCTCTCTCTCTCTCTCTCTCTCTCTCTCTCTCTTTCTCTCTCTCTCTCTCTCTCTCTCTCTCTCTCTCTCTCTCTCTTTCTCTCTTTCTCTCTCTCTCTCTCTCTCTCTCTCTCTCTCTCTCTCTCTCTTCTCCTTGTGGTGAATGTGGTCCAAGCCCATGTCTCCAGACATGCAGGGCAGCATCATCTGAGAGCAGAGCCGTGTCCACACTCTTCCATTTCCCTCTCTGTCTCTCTGTCTCTCTGTCTCTCTCTCTCTCTCTCTCTCTCTCTCTCTCTTTCTCTCGTCTCTGTGGTTTGAACTTCAGTCGAGCGGCTCTGTCCTCCTTCCTTCCTCTGTTGGTGAGCAGAACTCAAGGCCACAGGCTCCAGTCCAGCGGGCCTGGAGCCTCGGACACGTAATCATCACCCTGTCTCCACCATCCCGCCAGCAGCCGCACCGAGTCTACAGCAGACCCACACACTGCTCTCTGTCTGTCCCAGACACACTCACTGTCCTCACCCTCAGTGCTGTTATAACTCACTGACAATATGTTTACATGGACAACATGAAGTAGGAGGATAGAGAGCTCACAGTATGGCCATAGGAACATTATGTAATTACTACACCCTTACAGAAAAGTTACATATATTTTACATGTGAAGTGTGAAAACCACATGTTTACAAGTAAGCACGTTTTTTTTCACGTGAGCAAGTTTTCATACATGAACACATGTTTTTATTTAATGCAATCACACGTTTTTTCACATGATACATTTTTAACGTGATGTGTGCAAGAACCACGTGTATTTGATTCACATGTGAAATTCATGTGACTCTTCTGTAAGGGTACGAAGATATGCTATAGTTATGACATGGTTATATGATTATACACTTATTTGGTTGTAGATAATAGTTATATTTCCAAAGAACAACAAGTCTAGAAAATTACTCTCACATATGCCTTTCTATGTATGCTACATTTGCCTCTATCTGGCTGGCCAGTTATTATATTCTAGTCAATAATAATAATAACAGTCATCAACATTGTCATCGTCTTCATCATCATCATCATCATCATCAATAACCATTCTTTTTGACAGGTTCTACATAGAGCTGTATAAAATAGGTAGTATTATTAGTAGTAGTAGTTTGTGATTGTAGTTTTAGTGGTAGTAGTAGCAGTAGCAGTAGAGGCAGTAGTAGTAGTAGCAGTAGCAGTAGCAGTAGAGGCAGTAGTAGTAGTAGTAGTAGCAGTAGCAGTAGAGGCAGTACTAACAGTAGTAGCAGTAGAGCCAGTAGTAATAGTAGTAGCAGCAGTTGAGGTGGTAGTAGTAGTAGTAATATTATCTCCCTAATGGAGAACCTACTTAATACATTTCTTTATAGAACCTTTTTAAATGGTTCACTGTTTACATGGTTACACAATAAATGGTTACACATCACCAAACACTACATACAGAAATCTTTTTGCTACAAGTATATGTGTGTGTAAAAAATGTCCATTCAATCCAAAAAATCAAGTCATATGGCAACGAGCATTTTAACTGGTTTCATTCTAATTAAATAAATACTTGAATGAACAATGCAAATCAAAATAAATAGATTAGATGAACAATAGCAGTATCTTACATCAGTTCAAACCTCAAAAACACTTCACATCCACTTCTGCCCTGTTCCACTTTCTACAGTGTACAAGTGAAGTTTTTCAATTGCCTTAACCACTTAAATATAACTAGGAGCTCAACTAGGAGCCTTAATGTCTACAGCTATGCTGTAACAAGGGAGATACCTGACTCAAACTGAATTAGTCAAATGAGGGGCTGTATTGCACAGTTAGAGCAAATTCCCATAGACACAGCGTCCTAAACGGAATATGCGTGAACTAAATAATTGATGCAACATTTCTTGTCCAGCACTGAATAATCCCTCAATGCTTAAACACAGAGCAACAGAATGAAAAACACTACTCCTCAAACCAGAACACATAATTCTGTTTTTACAAAACAGTAAGCAACCTCTTTGGTGAATAGATGGCAATGCTTTTCTTTAAACACTCTCTGATGTTTTCTGTGCTTTGATGTACAAAGCACAATTATGTAAACATCTCATGCAAAACACTGTTTTGACTGGATTCATGAATTAATTCCAAATATTTCACGCTGATGACAGACCCTGAAACTTTGTCTGTAGTTGCAAAAGTTCTCACCAGTCCACATTTCACGGTTATTTATACTTACAGCATACCTGATAAGGATAACCAGACTGCTAATCAAATGATCATATGCGTCACACTGAAAATTCGACTTAGAGGAAATGACAAACATGCAGCATTGCTCACTCACTGATCTACTGAATGACCAAACGGTAAGGATGTTGGTGATGTCTGGCTGGGGTGTGGTTTAAATGAGGGTTCTTGGTTTCTCTTACCTTAGTGCTCCACAGTTTGACAGTCCAGTCGAAGGACGAGGTGACAAAGATGTGGGAAAAGTCCACAGGGCCCACAGCACTGTGACAGCTGATGCCAGTTACTGGCCCCTGGTGGCCCTCAAACATCTCACAGATGCCAGCTTTACTGTAGGACAGCACAGGACTATGATCAGCACTGGTCAACTGTTTTATTCGACTCTAAGGTAAATAAAGTATGTGAGCAATGTTTCTGTGTGTCTACATACTTAGTGGTCACATTATCAGATTTATGTTCTCTGTATCTGTACCCAGAAGGCTTCAACATCTTTTAAAGACAAAAGTAAATAGGAATACACATAGAGGAGAACTGAATAATATATATTTTTTAATTTGTTAATGAAGTAGTCCAGTGGCCTCTTTCATAAATAACTTTCTCTGCCAACGTGTGAGACCACCCTTTCTTTTATTTAATTTCCAGCCAAAACGGCCACTAAGTACACGTTTTCATTTTTTAGCATTAGGAAAAAAGCAGAAAACTATTTTTTTTCAGTATTTAGTAGGTCTACACTTTACAGCCCCTATTCTTTTCCAAAGACTTGTTTTCAGTTGTTCAAAGAAATCTGAACAGATGCTTCCATGTCTGGAAAGTTCAGTATTAGAAGTTAATTACAAACTTAATCAGTCAATAAAACCTTATTTCACATCTCAGATGTCCTGTTTCGGTGTTCTAGTGTAAATTTCTGTTTCTCACTGATGGTTTCCACAATGTTGAGTTTTCAATGATTTTCCCTTGACTTTATCCTTTAGCCATTTTAGATGCATGAGAAAGAAATTTGCAAGGCGGCTAATGTGTGTTTGGGTAGTTGCTTGCTTGTGCTTGGGAGCGTACACAAGTAAAGAATGGATAATTAAACACAGATTGATGTGATGTTGCACTTAGTATTGGAGGCTTCTGTGTAATTTTCTTTTAAATACACCCTTACAGAAAAGTCACAAGAATTTCACATGTGAATAAATGTGATTTTTGCACACAAATCACATGTTAAAAATGTTTTTATCATTAATTATATGTGAAAAACTGTGTGAAATGTGTTTACATGTGAAAAGACGTGATTACTTGTAAATGTGTTTTTTGCACATTTCACGTGAACATGACACTGAAAAATGAATCACTTGTACTTAATGGATGATTTGACTGGAAATGAAATCAACAAAAGAGTGGTGTCTGACTTTTGCACAGTACTGTGGCTATATATCTGTATATACATATTTGTAAACATTTACAAACAGAAGTATGAAGCTAAAACAGTGCATCAGAATTTGATGTCATGCACAGTGAAAGTTAAAATCTCTGTACTTACTCAATGAATAAGCCCGTTGAATTGCTCATACTTTCAACTCTTACTCACATTTTGCAAGCATTGTCCTTAAGGCGTCTCTGACTAAGCAGACTTGCATAGAAAGGGGAGTCATACACAATGGAAGGCCCACTCAGTTTATGCTTTAGCAGTATTTGTAACTTTCTGCATAAACAGTGTTTACAAATGCATTATAAAAAACCAGCCAACTCCTACCCTTTGGTCAAAACCAGGTCACTAGAGGCCAGTACGAGCTGACACGACCCACACAGGGTACAAAACTCTGATGCAATCAGTCAGCTGACTTCTGAGTATAACAATGGTTCCAAAAATATTTGTATTACAGCTTTCTGACTGTAAAAGCTATGGCAGCTCATTAGGTACAGGTATACAGTAGATATACCTAATAAAATGACCACTGAGAGTTTGTGCGCTTGTGTGTTTTAGTATGCTCCACTAACCTGCCATGTCTGGATGCTGTGTACACTGTTCCCTCTTCACTGCCCACCACAAAATTATTAACGTCTCCTGCAGGAAAGGCCATCCCAGTCACAGCTACTGGTTTAGACTTGTTATATACCAGCTCCATGCTCTCCTGTAACACACAAATAGGCTTTATTTCCATAATGCTAATACAACTAATACAATGCAATGCTAATATATAATGTCAGATATTTATTTTAAGACTGATACTGCTCATGACATTTGCTCTGACAGCTTGCTGTAGAACTGCAAATACTAGACAACAGAAACATATTACAGTGCTTGGCTTAACTAGATAAGAGCTTCACACTGATCACAACAGCTGCAGAAGGGCTTGATACTTGGCGATTGCTAACATAATGCTAAAATAATGTGTTTTAACGCAGACAAATATTAGTGTGATTCGGAAATTTATATAATATGAAATACCACTGTTAATACTAATCCACAGTGTTAGCCATCCCTTACAGAAATGTCACATATATTTCAAATATGAAGCATGCAAAAACCATGTTTTGACACATTTTTTTCACATGTAATTACATTTTTCACATGAGAAGTGTACAAAAACCACATGTGAAATTCATGTGACTTTTCTGTGAGGGCATATAAATTGCTATAGCTCTTTGACTGCAGTCAGCAGCTGCAAAAACTGCATAACAGAAAAACCTTTAAGAAGTGCTCAGTTTAATTAGATAAGAGTCACCACAGCTCTTACTGATGCTAAGCTTGCTGCAAAAGGGTTTGAGTATGGTTGGTGAAAAGGCATGGAAAGTGGACCTGTACTGCTACTGACCTGTGGCTGGGAGAGCATGTCCAGGCTCCAGGAGCACATCCTGCCATCTGTGGACACTGTGATCAGGTTGTTAGCGTTCTGGGTCCCAACAACATTTACACAGTACACTGGATGCTAAAGCATGAGAAAGGAAAACAAGGTTTTTACATCAGTCTACATAGTATACATTGGACACGTAGCCCCTTTCACACTTGATGGGGTAAAAAGTACACTGCATGGCTAAAAACAGTAGTAGCAGGCATCCTGCAGCCTGATTTAAGTCAATATTTTCATCCATTTTTATAGACAGCCTGTCATATAAGCACACAGGTCTATATGTGAGATTACTTAATAACTTGAAATGGTCTGAGGAACATGTGTGGTCATATAGTCAGCACAAAGCTAACTCATAGGATATAAGCATCCAATACTAATCCACCAGTGCAAAACTGAAAAAGCTGGCTATCTTGTCTAATCTTGTATAAACTGTGGAAAAGCGGAAAACTGTGGACATCTGAGTTGATCTATAAGCTAAATGTAAAACAGCAAGTATCTCATAATATCTTCAGAATTGGCCCTTTGATACAGCCTATGAAGCAAACATCCTAAAATACCACACATGCTCCTCTGAATACTGGCACTGGCCCTGCGCTCCATCAGAAGATAACGGATGTGTGCAGCAGTCGCTTACTTAAACTTGCCACTGGCATCTGCCGCTGTGCAAATACAGTCGATTGTGTGAATCCATTATGTCATTATTGCTGTCAAATTGATTTTTGTTTTAGGCTCACAATGGGCTCTTTGAGAGGGGCCGGCAGCTCGGTGAGCTGGGGGTCGGGACATAGGCTTTCATTATTGAGGGCACGGGAGTTTAAACCTTCAGCATGTATGGCATTCAGAGGCCATGTGTGTGGCTGTGTAGCACAATGAGGCCTATCCACCTCCGCTGCCTCCACCTCTGGCCTGTGCTCTCTTTATTGCATGACATGGAGTTAGATGGGGCTCATTGACTCTGACTGTGCTGAAAGAGTCTAGCTCCAGGTACTGGTTCAAGCCTCTCTTTCATGCTAATTGAGGATGATGGTGTTGTAGAGTTAAGATCATCTTAAAGCAATAATTTTACAAAAAATCAATCACACTTTATCCCTTCGTTTCAAGTGTCGCTGATCAGCCAAAGTTCACTTCTTTAGCTTTACACTGAAGGTACAAAGCTGAAAATCTAAAAAATGTCTAAATTACAAGAAAAAGAAGACTTAGACCTTTCCATTATCTTCCTAAAAACTGTATGCATAAATCACCACACACTTTCCCCAAACCATGTCATCTCAAGTCATGTCAATGTGGTTTCTGACACAAATGACAGAACGTTGTCTATAAAATAGACAAAAGTACAAACCTCAGTTCCAAAAAGGTTGGGACAGAATGTGCAATGCTGATAAAGAAGAATGCAGTGATCTAAAATTCCACACATTCACAACATGCCTCTGAGATGGATATCACCGCATGAAGCTGGGAATACTTTGACAAACCACTGTCAAACACTGTTAATCGCTGCATCCACAAAAGTTGAGACTGTATTATGCACATCTAAAGCCTTATGTCAACAATGCCCAGAAACACTACTGACTTCTCTGGGCCCAAGCCAATTCACTGATGCACAGTGGAAACATGTACTGAGGTCTGATGAATCAATTTTTCAGACTGCTTACAGAAATAATGGACATCTCTGAGCAAAACTGTTACCAGTGTAAAGTTCAAAAGCTAGGGGCTGTCATGGTATAGGGGCATATTAGAGCCCATGGCATGGGTATCCTGCACAACTGTGAAGGCCACATTAACACTGAAATGCACTACACATTGCAAGCATGACTGCATAAACAGAGAGTGCAGGTGCTAGACAGGTCTACCTGCCATGCAGACCTGTCTCCTATTGAAAACGTGGCACATTATGAAGCCCAAAATATGACAATGATGGCTTCATACACAGCTGAAGACTTGCATAAACAAAGAATTGGTATCTTACGTCCATAAACAATTAAGTGCTGTTAAAAGAAAAGGGGATGTAACATCTGCTACTCTCTTAACTTTTTTAGTGCTGCAGGCACCAAATTTAAAATGAGCATATATTTACAAAAAACAACAAAATCAGTAAGATAAAACACCAAATCTTTTTTACTGTTTTCAAGTTAATACATGTCAAACAGAATTTACTAATCACTGCATAGCCAAAAAATGATGCCTAATTATGCCAGTGCAAAACTAAAGCAGCAATCTTGGGACATCCAATGTGTCTTGGCTGATCGTACATTTCTGATACATTGATATTGTGAAAATTGTGTACATTATTGGTTTAAAAGTGAGGACTGTGGATACAAGTTGTCCGTGGTGGTAACATAGTAAGTGCTTGCATAATTTGAATAGAGAATTTGTTCCATGTGGTATCTTTCGGCTAGGATGCCAACTTACTCCTAGCCTTACTCATAGCTTTAGCAAAAGCATGCTTCATGTGAATGGATGATGCTGCAAATGTCTTGTAGATGTTGAGTAGTGCTTACAGTGTGTGCAGCTGCGGAGAGGGGCGTCCTCTGGACCGGGGTCCTCCGGTGGCTGCGGTTGTCCCAGAGCACGATCTGCCCCGAGTATGTGCCACCCACCAGCAGATTAGGATGAAACCGGGCGAAGCCCACAGACACAACAGGGGACTTGGGAGGAGAACAGAGGACAAGATAATTAGTTTGAGAGAGTGAGTGAAATAAGGAGAGAGAGAGAGGCATGATGCTGATGAGTTCACTGTAAAGATCTTGCGCAAGGGTGGGTTTTGGGGCAAAAATACAACAATGCAGGGGATTGTAGGCCCAGCAGTTTTATATTACAGCACCATAAGCAGTGGGCAGCGGAGCGAGAAGCGTGGCTTTTGTTGTGACAGGCTTGGCCTTGAACTTCCCCTCTGTCTTCACTTTTATTGAGTTTTCCGTTCCTCATGAATGCCCGTCAAATGAAATGTGAGCTTATGCTTTCATATTTTCACACGAAGTTCCCTCAAAAAGGAGCGACTAAACTCTCAGACAAGTTTTGATAGATCTTCACTCAGCATTTTTCCCAATTAGCTCTTCAGGCCAATTATCATACGGACCCGGGGTTCCTCTGTTTTGTCATGCCTTCCCTACCCACTTAAGTGAAACGGGCCTGCACTGGGACAGAAGTGCGAGAGGCTTGTTTTCTTTAGCACTCTGCAGTCGTCTGCTGAGGCAAAACGCGAGAGAGACTGTCTCCGTGTTTCACCACACCAGCTGTGGCGGCCAAGTCATGCACCCAGAGTTCATTTTAAAGTGAGTGGAAAACAAACCAGAGCGAAAGAAAACATGCTTCTCTTTTCTTTCGTTCTTTTCCCCCCTTTAAAAAAATACGGCTTCCAAAGAGACTCGGGAGCAGCCTCATATGTGAGGCGGTTTTTTAAAAAGGATTTAAAATAAACCATGCTGGAAGGGTAAAAATAAAGCGCTGGCCACCAAAAGATCCCAGAGTTGGGTTTGTTTGCACACACAACACCCAGACCAATCTGGTTTAAGGTTTAAGCGCATTAAGACAAAACTGTTTGATGGTCGGATTATTTGGAAATTCGGAAAATAGATTTGACTGTGTGACTGACTAAAAAACCTCAACTAGGACAGACACTGAGGAACACACTGCGAAATACATGATAGAAAACAGATAAAGTGTTTAGAATTGGCTGTCACTAGTGAAAAACAGCAAGCGGGCTTCCAAAGCCAACATGTCAGTTAATAAATTGATCAGTATATCTTAAGAACTGGAAAGGCTTTCTCTAGGCCTGTTTCCTCCCTGTGGCTGCTCTGATTAGTGGGCCTGTTGAAATAAGTGCTTCTGCTCCATGATTAGTGATCAGTAAAGCCTTAATGCTAACTGAGTGACGAGAGGGCACTGCAGCACTAAGACACTCCGCTATTTCAATCAGAGCCTCAAGCCTGACCTTTGACCCCTCTCCTTACAGTATACCTTTTACATTCAAACTCTCAATGTCTTATTCTGTCCTCCTTCTCTCTTCTTTCTCTCTCTCTCTTTCTCCTCAGGTTCATAAACTCTCCTTCTTCTGTTTGCTGTAGTCATGCGTCAGGGACACGTTCCCCCAGACTGGAGCTTCATTACTGAGCTAATGAACACAAGCCCAGGTCACCACAACAAGAGGGTAATAACTCCACTATGAAGCCATTAATCAGAGACTTAATGAAGTATCGTAACCTGAAACCTCCTCTCAGGAGAGCCAGCCCAGGCAGGAGTCGAGCAGAGCCGACCTCACTCAAACCCCCCCACCACAAGCCTCTGCTTTAGCCACAGGCTTTCTGCTCTCAGGCACCAGTGCTAGTATCAGCATAGTGCTCTGGATTATGATGCTTGCAGCTTTGACATATGTATCTTTAAAACCTCATAATTTAATGATGAACAACAAAAATGGCCCAAAATCTCTCTGGATTAAAAATTTCTTACATTAACACAGATTTCAGATAAGAGCATGTATCTTATTTTATCTCTGTCATATCAAAACCTAGTCCAATTTTTCAGGTTTTTTTTTGCACTATTTGAGGACTCCAACTGCCCTTTAAATTGTATAAACATTTCAGGACAAATGGACCATTCTGGAGATAACAGCATGCAGTTGTTTTTATTCATTAAGTGCGTAAAAAGAGAATTCCAACAATTAAAAAAAAATCTGCATAATTTAGTCGTTGAGATGCAAACAAAAACATTCAGAGTGGTTTGATTGTAAAGAAACTTACTCCAATTTCTTTACAGTGGTTGTGAGAGGAACCTGGGGTCACAATGTCCACAACACAAATACAGCCAATTTATTAACTATGCAAACTAACCAGTTAACCTACATGTGTCTTCCGAGTTTTTGTATGTAACGCTTTTAATGATAACATTTTAAAATCTAAAGTTAAAATCTTTTAATCTTACAAAATAAGTTTTCTTCTGTTACTATTTTACCTTACAATACCCTGCATGTACTTCTCTGGCATAGATGTGCTTTAAAACATTAAAGATCAAAACCTTTCTCAAAACAATTGTAATGTTTCAGGCATCAGGCAACATATTCATAACTAGTTCATGCATTAACTTTCTGTTAAAGAGAATTTAGAGGCACTCAACTATTTAGACGTCTGGTTCCACCATCTCCACCACAGTGAGCAATTCTGACACAGTAAGTTTCTCTAGCAAGGAACATTTCACATCAAACCACACTGAATGAATTTGTTTACATTTTCATCATTTAATAATGGTGGGATTTAGAAGAATTGGTGGCAACCCCCTTTACACTGCAAGGGACATTTTTGCCCTGCTCTTCAACAGATCGCTCTCTTAACTATATATCTTCAATATTAGTTTGATAAAAGTTTTTTAGTAATTGTTAAAAAGGCTAAAGTATAATAACTGAATAATAAGCCTTCAGTTGAATTAATTAATTCAGAGCTACACAAAGCTTTAAAGAAAGAATCTCCATTATAATAGATATAAAGCCTACAGAGAGTCTTCAAGCAATGTCAGCCCAAGACCCCGAGCCATGGTGGGCTGGATATTTGCCAAAGACCGATAGATGTATACTGATTAATGAAGAAGTCCTTTTTCCCACTTCTCATTTTACATTGCAAGCGCACATCTACCCTCACATCCCGGGTGGCCATATGTGACATTAACCGAGCAGACATTAGCTGGAAGTTGCAATCACTGTTTCAGATTTTATGATAAATAACCTGTCAGGAAGCAAGCTCAAAGTCATAAACAGATGATGTATGCTTTACTCATTACAGTCACCACATAAATCCAGAAAGTTCTTTCACTCCACAGATAAATGTGACAAGTCATATGAACGCTCTTTAAAGTCATAATCTAAACATGGCAGAGATGCTGGAGGATGAAAAGATGGTATATTCACACCATATGGAGAGCCTCACCACTCCGCCCTATCTGGCCTCTCATCTTAACTAGCCGAACCAAGCGACTGACTCTACAGACTTACTGTAAAGCCCAATAAACATTAGGCTCCGTGCACTGTGGCACACATGCAGCTACTGCGCTACCGGAATTAGCTCAATTTGTCCCGGTAGACTGCTTTGCTGATTCTGCCAAATAGGAAATTAGGCCTCAAATCATAGTCTATTCCCTGTGCATATGTCATCAGAGAACATGTGGTTGTCTGCTGAAAGGGATCTTTTTGGTAGTCGCAGCGTAAAAATGATTCAGTGTTTTAACTTGGGGAAAAAAAAAAGTTCACCTGTTTGCCTTATATTTCAATTTTATTCAACTGCAAATACGTAGTTAACAGAATCTCAGATTAATAGATTATATAGTTAACATATTATATGAGGTTCAATAAATTCTAAATTTAATGACAGCCAGATCGCTAACTTTTAAAAGTTAAGGCACTACATTATTTTTTTTCAGTATGACACTTCGGTGCCTTCGTAAAATATTTAAAGGTCCCATATCCACATTTTTCATGTATTTTATTTTACCCTATTGTCTACTTATGATGTTTGTTCAAATTCATGTACCAAACCATTCATTTTTACCTGACCATTTTCGACCTAGAACTAAAACATATGTAAAGTATCTCTGCTTTCCTTGGCTGCCCTGAATTGTTCCTCATTCAAACAGCAGTCTGAGCTGAAACACTCCTTATAACTTCCAAATGAATGGGCAAGGCTAAACTGATGTAGTCTGAATAGGCAGATATATGTAAAAGTGTTGGCTTTCATGACATCATAATAACAAATTCAACAGGGGCTATTTTCACTGCTTTTCCACTATTCAGATGAGATTAATTTTGCATGGGGAGGTGGGGTAACGTAATAATTATCAGCAGTTCTCAGTGATTTTAGTCTTGTCCGATTGAGCCATTTTATGAACTATGCAAACTAACCAGTTAACCTACACGTGTCTTCTGAGTTTTTGTATGTAACGCTTATAATGATAACATTTTAAAATCTTAAGTTAAAATCTTTTAAATCTTACAAAATAAGCTTTCTTTTGGCACTATTTTACCTGCATGTACTTCTCTGACATAGATGTGCTTTAAATTATTACAGATCAAAACCTTTCCTCAGAACTATTGTAATGTTTCATAATTGTATTCATAATTATTTTATGCAATAACTTTCTGTGAGGGAGCATTTACAGGCATTCAACTCTTCAGACGTCTGGTTCCTATCACCACCACAGTGAGCAATTCTGACTCAGTCCGATTGAGCCATGTCAGCCATTATAATGGAAAATACTGGAGAAGATTCTCACACCTAAACATAAAAATCATATCCTGGGAAAAAAAGAGTTTTCACAGTTTTTCTTATGTACTGAGGCACTTGAAGCATATGTTTGTATTCTCTGTGGCTCAAATAAAGCCCTTATGTACTGTCCTTGTTCTTAAGTGTACAACTCAAACATAAAACATGTAACATGACAGAAAAATGTTTGAATTTATGGGGTTGATTGTTGGCTGTAAATTCCCAAGCTAACGACAACGGCAATGACACACTGCATTCACTTAGGACAACTAAGTACATGGTTAGCATAAACAAATGATGGCTAAATTAAATGTTTTGACATGTATTGTACCCTTTTTGGAGTGAAGGCAGTGCATTTATTTATACAGAGTCATAAACATTACAGATGCCCCGAGGTAAAAGCA